CTTTGATACAAACCGACAACACAGTCAGACCATAAACCGTGAAATCACTTATTTTTGTCATCCTTGGGACAAAACAAGAATATCCGGACCGAACTATTTACCGATCAGAATGCAGGGTTTGTCACGACCGCACCCACACAGAAAAATTATGTAGCTTATTAAACACAGGAAGCTTTGAAGAAATAATGCTGAATTGTACTTTTTTTATAAATCAACGTGGACGCACGTTCCATTTTTATTGGATCGTAAGGTTTATTGTGAATAATGTATTAGTTAACTTTTTATCTTACTTTCTTAGACCTTTAAGAACTCTCCAGATTTTAAGTAAACATAAAATAAACCTTTTCACCAATCTTTCAAATGTTGCTGTCAGCTGTTGTAAAAGGGACCTGTTTTGATTAATAAATGTGAATGACGGTAAAAAACGCAGAAAAAAAGAGCGCTTTCTCTGTTTCACAAAAGGAGAGCACAACTTTGAAACCTGATTTCATTCATGACGTACTTTCAGTTGTTTTTTCCCCTTTAACGTTCGTTGAGAAAAGAATTGTTCGTCGCATCTGATTCTGTTTCTTTGGAAACGCCTAAAATTTTGCACTTGCGTATCAAAATTTCACGCTAAATTACCGTGATCGTGAAAACGCAGGATAAAAGAGCACTTTCTCTCTTCCTTAATACGAAAACACAACTGTATCTAGTGAGTAACTTAACCTGGCAAAATGAAGGTAAACGAGTCAGAGAATGTCACTGATCAGGCTCACACTTCAAGATCACAGTTTTTTTTTGTTTGCATATTTCAAGTTTCGCTAGGGAATTGGATAAGAACACCACTATTTGGGTTGTGTTTGGTATCACAATTTTTTCTTCTCCCCTTATCGTCTTGTTGAATATTTTAGAGATCATTGCCACGAGAAGGAAGAAACGATCGTAAAGAGTATCGACTGTATTGTCGTGTAGTAAGGCGGATGCAGATGTACTGGTTGGTGCAGTATCCATGCCATTAACCGCCTCTGTTGATTTATTGATTGCTAACCAAACGTTTCTGGAACATGTTTGCGTATTAGACCTCGTGGGCTTGGCTATGATTACTGTGCCAGTGGAACAGTCGTGCTTCACTTGGCATTGGTAGCCTGGTACATAGTTAATAGAGGGGATTAACTATGCCTGGGAATGGTTCTTCGCCATACGAAGTGGAGGGTATACAAAGTGATCGTGACACGACGCCTCGTAAAGAAACTAGTCGTGGTCGCTTGGATGCCAGCGATAATCATAGCAATACCCTACATAATGATTGGGGCTGGTGTAAATTTTAAAGGACATGAAAGCTTAGCTCTGACTCGGAGCATTGGGTCTGTTTTTGTCATCATATCGATCATTTATTTTTACACCATGGTGTACCTTGAGTTACGAAAACGAAATGGGGTGAAAACGTTCAAAGTTAGCTTTCTAATCAAAGGAAAGTTGACTGTAAAGTCGCAAAGATGACGGCTTTAATAACTGATGCAATGCTTTCCTCGTTTCTTCTTCAAGCGGGATGTCTCTGGTTAGGATATTTATTCCCTGTCTCAGTCGGAAAAACTCGGCTATTCGCCGGATTGTCCGCGACATTGATGCAGTTACACTCATTGGTGAATCCATTGATTAACTGTTTTAAAGAACGCTGTTTTAGAAATACTATCCTCAAACTGTTAATTGGCCGGCCAACACTTTGTTCGGTTAAGCAAAGGAAACTGTCTGGCCCACAAGAGGATGTGTCGGGAGTACCAAATGGAAGAAAAAAAAGAAACTTCCTTTAAGGGAACTGCATCTAAACCTGATCTAGTATTTGTTTTAGAATTTGTTGACGATTCCTGCAATCGAATTAAATAGCCAAGATCCATGTCAGTTCCAGTGCTTGAAACAAGCAGCACCGGACTCAGAGGTCTACAGACTCACCAAAGATTAAGCTCCGACGAAGGGCTAACGCTCGAAACGTCAGCTTTTGTAACCGTTACGGTGGCCAATTTACCATTTCAACTTTGTTGATATATCCAAATTATTTTGTTACTCCCACCGACGCAGCCCCAAACAGTTTATTTCGAAACTATCAGCCTTTATTCACCAAAGATTACCCTCGTCCACCTCAACTTGATCAACAATAACAGTCAATGCTCATGATAAATAAATAAATAAATAAATACATATCAAGAACAGGGATCTTAGGTTAAAACAAGTTCTAAGATTGGAGTCTAAAGATATTACTGCGTCATTGGATTTGGGCTACAGCTGCCAAGACACACATCACGATCCACGACCCACAAAAGTGGCATTTCGGCTTTCATTAATCATGACAATCGGTAAATAGGAATTGGCGGGAACTCCTAAATGTATGAAGACACATTTGTAGGACGAAAGTACAACGTTGACTACCGAATATCTCTGTTTTAACGCATTTTTGAATGCTCTCTTGACTTCAGACATCCTTGTACATAGAAGAAATAAAACAGTTATAGGTTTGGTGACGCAGATTATACGTTTTAAATTCGAAATCGAATTGATCAAGGAACAAACAAAGGGTGAAGTTAGAGTTGGCTCTTACCATGACGATTTTCAAAGATTCTCAATGATCAGCGATATAAAAGTTTGTTCATAACGTTGTCAAAATGATGATTGTATAATCAACAACAATCAACCGCCGCCCGGTTAGCTCAATTGGTTAGAGCACCGGATTGTGTTGTGCGGGAGGTCGAGGAGTTCGAGCCCCGGCCGGACCAATACTCATGGTCTTAAAATAAGTAAGGAGAATTTGCTACCTTTCTATAATCAAGAATTGGATAGATGTTCTGGTCTTCTCGGCTAAGGACGAATAAACCGCAGGCCCCGTCTCGTGCAGGGTTAGGGGTAGGAGACACGCACGAGATTGGGGTGTGGTGGATGTCCTCCCCTGGGTGGGATGGGTGGGTGTTGGCCCTGAAAAGCCCCTATGGGGAGTGGTCAATTAATGAATGTATAATGTATGTATTTATGTATGTATGTATGTATGTATGTATGTAAACATGTATGTATGTAACGACAACCTTATTTCCACCCTACATTGATATACATGATACAAAAATTGTATTTCGTGAAAAATGGAAAGAGTACAGAGGGCTAAAAAGATAGGGCAGCCTTACTTAGGTTATTAACAAACAAATAATTATATTGAAGTTTCACGTACCACATGCGCACAGACTACACAAAACATAAAAAGAAAGAAGGAAAAAAGGCCAGAAGAAAAAAAGGAAGACAACGAAGGAAAACTTAATGTGCCAGTATCAAACAACGGAAAGCCAGAAAAAATATAATTTTGATAAATTTGTAATTAATATTTAGCAATAAAAATTGACTTAAACTTTTACTTAAAACGTTTGGGAGAGGGAATCTCTGTCATCACTGAAATCATTCCAAACTTTAGCACCCTGCAATCTTATGTAATCACAGTAGTTTCTGCTTGAATATTCGCAGAAATGTAATTTTTTGTGATTTTCTGACTTTCCATGAACTATTATCCAATTGTGATTCTGCCGACTTGAAAAATGATGTTGTCTTTCCAGGTTTCATGACTTGAAGGAGCCCTGAAATTAACAAATAGCTTCTTGAGTGCTTAGCAAACCTCCCAAAGTCCCAAGTTCATCCAAACCTCAATAGTGTACGCTGTGGTGTTTAGCATTTGTTTGAATAACATTGATACATTGTAGCAAAAGAGTTCCCTTTCATTTAACAAATCTCATGTGACCAGAGAAAACAAGCGCGGGCGGAAAACTAGTTTTTTCATTGAAAATTTGTCCCCATTTGTTTGTATTTCTCCTCCAACAGCCTTTTGCGGTCTTTGGCAGAAGATGCTAGTTTGATCTGTTTTATTGCTGCAGCTTTCTTGCATAAATCGAACAGTTCTGCTTTTTTCTTTCCTTTGCCGTCATCACTTAACTGAATGCCTCTCTCCCATAAATAATTTTTCACTCTCCCGCACGAACCACTTTTTACAGAGATCAACGACGGTAGCAAAGCAAACACACGTGCAAGGTTTTCTTTCTTTCTTTTTTTTTTTTTTTCTTTTTTGACATACGGTTCCACAACTTTCTAAATGGTTTTCAATAAATAAAATTTCCTATCTATTCGTCTCTCGTCGAATTATTTAACATAGGCTGTTCAGTAAGTCACGGTCTTAAAGACAATAAAAACAATCCTCTTTCCATTCTCTCCTCATTCCACTCTCTGCCTGTATAATTTACAAGAGTCATTTTAGCTCTCAAACTCTGAAGAGTGATTCTCCCTTCTGACAGCTAAACATTTCCTTATAAAGTAGTTAAGAGAGTATTTAAAGTATTATCAAGGTACGACCTTCAAGACGATGAGCGTGTGTATTCTCATATCCTTTCGCTGGATAATGTATCAATATTGTAAAGAGAGGTTGCAAGTGGATCATCTCTGAGAGCAACCTCGTTCCCAAGGCGCTTTTCCCTTCCCGCCCTTACCCTCTTTGAAGGGAAAAGCGCCCTGGGAACGTGGTTGTTCTGAGAGTTGCAAGATAAATGACGCTTCGCCTAACAATACCAGCAAATTGAAAGAAATAATCTCCTTTGAAGCTCACCAAAACAAACTTTTCCCGCTATTACTCTTATGCGCATACTCCCGCAATGACGCGGTTTGAATGTTTTACCGCGTTGTTTTAACTTCCTCCAGTTATGATTGGCTAACAGAGAGTTCTAACATGACGTCTGAGTTACTCTTTCTTGGTGGAAACTATCTGCACAAAAAACTTTCACTTTCAAAGAGGGATAGAAAAAGGTAAGTTCTTTAGAAAGTAGTTTATTCCAGTAACTTTAATAACCCCTCCTGCGAAATTTCAATAGGCCATTTTACAGTTGTGTACTTAGTTGCCAAGCCTTTGATTCAGAGTGAGGCTAAAGATGACCTTGTTGTGATAGAGACCTGTATCTACTTAGCATGATAACAAAGTGATTTACATTTGAAAGGCAGCAAGGTTTGTATCATAACAAGGTCATCTCTAGCCTCACTCCCATTCAAAGGCTTGGCAACCAAGCACACAACTGTAAATTGGACTATTCTTGAGGTAGAGATCTTTTTCTGAGATTATTCACACAGCCGAAACATCTAACGGTAGCCGCCGATTGATAGAGAGAAATGCCATGATTGCAATCAGTGGATGCTTCTTATTCCTGCTATTGCCATGGTGATTCGATCCTCCACACCCAGTTCATGAGCAACCTCGTGAAACCTGAGAAGAGAAAGAAATGAAATCATTTAAAAACGGCGGAAAATTTATTCACTAGCGCAGTCAATGTCAACCTTAAAGGAACATTGTACTCTTTTCAAATGCTGACTGCTGTAAGTCCACGCGCAAGCGACCCCTGAACATGTGCGTGGAAGCCTTGACGTCAAAAGCTAACTCCTTTTATCTAGCAACTAGTTTAGAGACAAAAGTCATTTTACAATCGTGAAAGTAGCCCGCGACAATCAATCAATACAATGGGTGACTTAAACTCAGTTATCTAGGTAGCTGGGTTAACAGACAGACAACAGACAGAAAACAGACAGATAGACAGACGGACAGAAAACAGACAGAAATACAGACAGATAAACAGACAGACATAAAGGCTGATAGTTTCTAAAGAAACTGTTTGGGGCTGCGTCGGTGGGGGTAACGAAATAATTTGGATGTATCAACAAAGTTGAAATGGTAAATTGGCCACCGTAACGATTACAAAAGCTGACGTTTCGAGCGTTAGCCCTTCGTCGGAGCGAATAGAGGTATTGTGGGTTGTGTGTGCTTTTAAAGGCAGAAAATGGAGCTACGTTATTGGTGGGAACATGGCAACGAGAAAAACACGAATAAATTAGTGGAATGAAAAGCGCTCGTTGATCCCTGTGGGATTTAGACGGCCGGTTTGAAAGATGAGCTTTTGCTGAAGAGTTTTGCGGCTTTCCGTGCAGACAGAGAGACAGATAGACAGACAGACAGACAGACAGACAGACAGACAGACAGACAGACAGACAGACTTAACAAGTGGTAAACACCAAAGCGTACTCTATCGAGTTATGGATGCACGCAGGAGGTTGCTAAGCACGAAAGAAGCGTAAGAGTCGCGCGAGTCGATAGCCGTGAGCGATTCTAGCTTCTTCAGTGCTTAGCAAACCTCTCAAGTGCATCCATAACTCGATAGTGTACACTATGGCGTTTACCATTTGTTTTATAACAGAACATTGATACATTGTAGCAGAAGAGTTTTCTTTTATTCATCAAATCTTACGTGACCAGAAAAAACAAGTGCGCGCGGAAAACTAGTCTTTGCATTTGCTCACGTCAGCAGCGTGCACCCATGGGCAAATGGTGGACGCTGAATTGACCAAATCAGAGCGCGCGCTTTACTTTGGTTATGTTATAAAGATATATAGACAAATAGATAAACAGACAAATAGACAGACAGAAAAACAGACAGACACACAGACAAACAGACAGATACACAGACAACAGACAGATAGAGAGACATATAGGCGGAAGCACTGAAGAACGGTCGGACAGAGGACAGGCGATAGACAGACAGACAGACAGACAGACAGAAGGCAGAAGATCGACCGGTGATCACTTTACTTAACACCCTGTTTGACTTACTTGTCACTAACTGCTTTCAACAATTCATTAATGTGCGTCAGAGTTTGACTTGGTGTCACTTCTAGAGCTTCCAATACGTTGCAGAAGTAGTCTGTTACAAATAAATCATCTTGGTTAATATTTTTGCGCATAAACTTGCCAGTTACAAGTCCTTTGAGGCCTATGTTTGGAGAAACACAAAATGTTTGCCATTTCCCTCCCAATAGTCCCTTTTACAGTTGTGGGCTTGGTGGCCAAGCCTTTGAACAGGAGTGAGGCTAAGGGTGACCCTGTTGTGATAGAGACCTGTATCTAGTTAGCATGATAACAAAGAAATTTGCATTTGAAAAGCAGCAACATCTCTATCATAACAGCCTCACTCCTGTTCAAAGGCTTGGCCACCAAGCCCACAACTGTAAAAAGGACTATTAAAACTGTCAGACATTTAAGCTCCTTAATTAGCAAATAAATGCTGAAAGAATCACGAGCAGTTTCTCGCGCTTTCTGCGTGGAAAAGGTAAACGTTTGATATGACAGTACCTATATCAGCCAACAGCTGTTGAGTTGAGTATGGCGTCAACTCATGGATTCTCAGGATACTCTCTGTGTAGGCGTGCATGGTGCCACGTGCAATTGATCCCAGCCAGTAGGTTCCAGGGTGGTGTTCATCTTCATCTGCAGCTAAAGGACATGAATACCATCACTGATTAATGCAATGTTCAAGTTTGGGGATCGGCACCTTTGGCCTACAAAAGCTCACGAAGTTAGGACTTTTTAAAAGAAAATAGTAGATTCGCAGGTTAGACCGTAGATCGTGGATCAGCTGGAAATTTTGTCCGGATTGCCGACATCGTAGTTTCATCCTTGAACACTCACCGGAATTAAGCCACAAACTGTTGTTGTATTTATATCACGAAATGTATTTTGTGTAGGTTGAATTCAAATTATTTCCACCAATACTTGTCTGTTAAGTTTGCCAAATGGTGGTTTGAATGGATGAAGGATTTTAAAGCTATTAAATTTTTAAATTACCGCCATTATCAAATTCCGTAGACTGTTGCTTTTAGGTATAGATTCAAAAGCGAATTTGTGACATGCGCAGACGTTTTTCAGCACAGAATTCGCACAACCATTCGGGAGCGCGCGCTTCTAACGCCTTTGATGACGCAACAATAGACACAACTGAAACTTCAGTTGAAGTCTCTCGTTTGGACGCTGCGTAGTCAATCTGCTCTTTCTAAAACATACCATAACAACCTTAAAAGCTAATAGCCAGCTAATTCTGACATTGAAACACAGTTAAGGAAGTGATCATTATCTCGAATAGAAACAAATCTGTACAAGAACGGGAAAGCGCTTACAAAAAAGCAGTGGTAAAATATCTCAAACTTATCAATTCTTCAGAATGTGTCGCCTTATAAATTTGTAAGTTTTAGCTTTATTTCAGGTGCAAATTCAAAACCATTTAAGAAGCACTCAAAGAGAAAGCATCCATTAGAGGATAGACAAATCATTGATTACGTCGGTTTGCGCAAATCTGAAACTCTTTTACTTATCCTTTATCGCGGAGATAGCGTTACCTTGAAGATCCGGGAATGGCAGATTTCCCGCCCTCATGGCAGTTTCCAGAGCGGGATTTTCTTGTGTTATAAACGGCTCCAGTTGCTGAGGAAGAGTGAGTAGGTAATCTCCAATCTATTAATGACAAAGAGAAATTAACAGGCGGAAAACTAAGGACAAACTATCAACGCTAACGTGTGCAAGACGCTTACAAGAAACCCACAAGTAGAGTTCATGTAAAACATTCAAAACGAAGTGAGCAAATTGGAGCTTACCGATAGCGCCTTTCATTAAGAATTGCTTTATTAGCTAGTCTCCATGCCTTCCCAAGCTTTAGTTTTTTTAATTTCTCCTGAAATTACTTTAATTGATTAATTCTCCCCTCTAGCTGCTACACATTTCCTTGCAAATTAGTTCCGAGCATTTGGTGATCAAGACAACAACTTCTTCCTGATAAGTTTGAGTATTCTCGTTACCTGTTTACTAGATAAAGTATGGATATAATACGGAGAAATTGCATGCTAATCCCTTTTGGGAGTTAAAGTTTTAATCAGCTTCTCGCCAAATCCCAATCCTGGCTATAGCATGGAAAAAAAAAAAAAAAAAAAAAAACTGACAATAAGGACAGAAGGACATGGAAATTGTTCGTGGCTCAGAAATGTGTCTGGTCATGTTCAGTCAATTGATACTCACGTGCGTAATGTATCCAAGCGGAGATAAACTGAATGTGGGAAGCTCGTCACTCAATGCAGCCCCAGATTCCGGGGACTTGGCGGACCAAACCTGGTCAACAGGGAACACTAATTAGAGATACAGTAACTGGTTTAAACCCGGGGATAACATGTGATCGTGTAGTCTGGTCGTCCGGATGAGAGTAGTCTTAAGAAGGACTGTTGTTAGTAATAGTGACTGTAGAAAATCCCTTTCGTTTTAAATTTCAAATGACAATGTTCTCTCTTCCTCTCTCTCTCTCTCTCTCTCCTTTGGTCTTCTATTTGTATTCACGCCAAAGCCAAATGTGTATGGTCATTTCATATTTTTCGTCGGAGTTTGGATTCTACACTCGTTTTTCGTTAATTGATTTTTTTATAGTGACTGACGTTGCGATAACCAGAGCGAAAGTCATCATGAGAGTCAAGTAAAGAGTTGTTGTCAGTCGAGTATTAAGTCCGGTTCGTGTAAATTGATTGGTCAGTTCAGCCACGATACTATTGGCCATTAGACTCAAGTGGCGTAAGTCGGTCGTGATTGATCAGTTTCGATCTGTCGGTAATGTTAGGTCCCTCTGTTCGGTTCCTTTGTGGTGTAAATGTCGTGAATAGGTCCTTTGTATGGTGCTGGTAGTAGTTGACACCTATTAAGAGAAGTCTCTTCCAAGTTGGTGATTCGGGTTTCCGGAGTCAGTTCTTGAAAATAGCTGGTGTTGTGGGTTAGGCATTGCGCAGAGTCCCATTCAATAGTGTAATTTATTAGTCGATGATCTTTAGCAGCGTGTTTGTTGACATCATGGTTTCTCGTCGCTCGCTTGCGTTTTCTGAGGTTTCTGCCAGTCTCTCCGAGGTAGGAGCCTTGGTAGTCAAAATACTGGATCTCATAGACTGCCCCCTGTCTGTTCTCTGGTTCGTCCTTGTCTTGGACGTTGGTGGCAACTGAGGTAGTGTTGTGATGGGTTGTGTGCGACGCGGATATTGAAGGGTTGTAGGATGCACGAGATGCCTTCAGACATGCTCTTTATGTACGGCATAGTCGCTGTGGTCGTAAGAGTCGCGTGGTCGTTTATATTAGTAGTTGATAGAGGTCGGTGAGTGTTTCGTCGAAAGAAGTCGTCGTTGTAGTTGTTTTTTGACAAAAACACGGTCAAGATATTTGTTTCGTCGGATATACTGTCTGTCCTGTTGCGTGCTAGTTGCGCTCGACGTGTTGAAGTTCTGATTGTCGTGGCTGTGTTTGATGTCGGGCTGCAGGATGACTCGTCTTTTAATCACTCGTTAGGTCGCGGTGTTCTGTAAACAGTTATGCATGGCGAGTTGTCGTAATAGCTTGCAAGGAAGTCGGAAGTCTAGAAAAAGAAGTTTACCATTATTTCCGATTTCTCTGATAAACTGTATTTCGGTGGTTTGTTGGTTACAGTGGCGGTGGAATACGTCGAATTCGCCTGGTCGTACGGTGGTGATTATATCCTCAACGTAGCGTAGCCAGAGCGATATCGTTTATCAAGTCGAAAGGGAACATTCCTAGATGTTATGCATCACAATTTCTGCGACGACGACGGAAACTGACGACACCACAGCTGTACCGTATAACTGTTTTGGTGTTTACCGTTGAACTGAAAGCAAGTAGACGTTAAGAAAAGGTTCGGTAAGTCATAATGTCTTCTCTCAGCAGCGGTAGTAGGTCCGCAGATTGTTGGATAGCAAGACAGAGCTGAATAACGCGCACGCATGCACTAGATTTTGCCGCGGAAACACGGAGTTTGAGTCGTTCGCGTGAGTGATTTCCTATTCTTTTGCTTCGAGGTGTCGTTTTCCTTGCCGCTTTTCTTTTACAGAACAACCTCCAAAAACTTGGTACACCCCCTGAAAAGTTTCAAAAATTAATTTTCTCCTTAAAATCTCTGGAAATAGGAAAATGCCTTCGACAAAAACAGAGTTCCTCGGTTTTAAAAGTCAGCTAATTTCGCTAAATTTTAGACCTAGGACACTCGAGCCCGCGTTGTTGACGGCAACCCGCTGACGTAGCATTTCATTATTCAGCTCTGTCGGATATCAATCTCCGTACATTGTAGTGCCAATTGAGACTGCTATCGGACAATCTGCCGGCCTACCACCGCTGTCGAGAGAAGACATTATGAACTTACTGGACCTTTGCCTGACGTAAACTTACTTTCAGTATGACGGTAAACACTAAAAACGGTTATACGGTACAGCTGAAGGGTCGCCAGTTTCCATTGTTGTCGCAGAAATTGTGACGCAAAACATCGAAGAACACTTCCTTTCGACTTACCGACAACGATGTCGCTTTTGCTACGCTACGTTGACGGTACATTTATTGCCATAAGACATGACGAATTCGACGCATTCCACCATAACCTAAACCAACAAGAGCCCGAAATACAGTTTACCAAAGAAGTCGAAGAAAATGATAAACTTCTGTTTCTAGACTGCCTGGTAAGCCGTAACGACAACTCATTATGGACAACAACTTCAAGAGAACACCGAGACATACCGACAGATTACTAGATTACTATGGCATCCTATAACCCGATATCAGACAAACCCGCGACAACCAGGACTACAACACGTCGGGCGCAACAAGCATACGACAGAACAGACAGCTTAACCGACGAGAACTAATATACCTTGACTGTGACAAAAGACAACGACAACGATGACTTCATTCGACAAAACACTCACCGACCTATAGCAACTACTAATATAAACGACAAAGCGACTCTTACGACCACAGCGACTATGCCGTAAGAGTTGCTTTAGCAACTACTAAACTAAACTATTGCTATAGCAACTACTAAAATAAACGACAATGCGACTCTTACGGCCACAGCGACCTTTCCGTACAAAAAGGGCATATCTAAAACCATTTTGTGCATTCTACAACCCTTCAATGACTGCGTCGCCAACAAAACCCATCACCATACTATGTCAGTTACTAGCCAGCGGGAAAGACAAGGAAGAACCGGAGAACAGACAGGATGCGGTTTATAAGATCAAGTGCTCGGACTACTGAGTCTCCTTCATCCGCGAGGTTGGCAAAACCTCACAAAACACAAGCAAGAGACGAGAAACCATGAAGTCAACAATCACACTGCTGAAGATCATCGACTTACAAAACCACGCTATTGAATGGGACTCTGCGCAATGCCTTACCTATAAAACCAGCTATTTTCAACAACTGACTCTGGAAAGCTGGTTCACCAACTTGGAAGAGACTCTTCTTTAACAGGTGTCAACTACTACCATTACCATATAAACGACCTATTCACAACATTTACACAACAAAGGAACCGAACAGAGCGAACTAACATTACCGACAGATCGAAACTGACCAATCAAGACCGACTTACGCCACTTGAGTCTTATGGCCAATAGCATCACGGCCAAACTGACCAATCAATTTACACGAACTGGACAAAAACTCATCATTTGACTGTGAGATGACTTCTAGTCTGACTATCGAAACGTCAGTCACTACTACCGACAACAGTCCTTGCAACTACACTCACCCCTAAGATCATACTACACGATCACCATCATAAGAGAATTAATCATGATCACTAATAAGACGACAGGCAGAGAGAAAACAGCCAACATGAATTGGAAACAAAGTAAAAGATCCGTGATTACCGTCACCAATACTAATAGACCATGTTTTAGACAATATAAGAGAAACTAAGGTTTACTTCTGTATAATTGGTTGTAGGTTAGTGTAGTGTGGTGTAGTTCAGTTTAGTGTAGTTAAAGCCGTAGGTGTAGTGCAGTGGGAGAATTGTAGCTTTCTGTAAACTACAGCAAACCATACCGTCCACGCCAAACTACACCAAGAAACACGAACCTACACCAAATTACACCCACTACACCCATCCCACCAAACTACACCAAACTATACCAACTACACTAAACTACACCAAATTACACCCACTGCACCAAACCCACCAAACTGCACCAAACTACCCCAAACTATGAATAAAGGCTGATANGGGTAAGTATAACTATCATATGGGAATGTCGAGCAATAATAAAATGAGGATGGAATAATAACATAGCAAAGTAAGTACAATGAAAGAATAACATACTGATGTAAGTACAACTCTCGCATGGGAATGTGGAGCAATAACAAAAGGAGGATAGAACAATAACACACGGGTAAGTACAACTATCATATGGGAATGTGGAGCAATAACAAAAATGAGGATGAAACAATGACATACTGAGGTAAGTACAACTATCATATGGGAAAATGGACCAAAAACAAAAGAATGGAACAATAACATACATGGGTAAGTAACACTACTATCATATGGGAATGTGGAGCTGTAATAAAAGGAAGATGGAAAAGTAACATACTGAGGTAAGTACAACTATCATATGGGAATGTGGAGCAATAACAAAAGGAGGATGGAACAATAACATACATGGGTAAGTACCACTATCATATGGGAATGTGGAGCTATAATAAAAGGAAGATGGAACAATAACATACTGAGGTACGTACAACTATCATATGGGAATGTGGAGCAATAAAAAAAGCAGGATGGAACAATAACATACATGGGTAAGTACAACTATCATAAGGGAATGCAGAGCAATAACAAAAGGAGGATAGAACAATAACATACTGGGGTAAGTGTCACTATCATATGGGAATGTGGAGCAATAACAAAAGGAGGATGGAACAATAACATACTGGGGTAAGTACAACTATCATATGGGAATGCAGAGCAATAACAAAAGGAGGATGGAACAATAATGTACTGGGGTAACTCTCACTATCATATGGGAATGTGGAGCAATAACAAAAGGAAAATGGAACAATAACATACATGGGTAAGCACAACTATCACATGGGAATGTAGAGTAATAACAAAATGAGGATGGAAAAATATACAGGGATTAACATGAGTAATATGTGGCAATACATATATTAATGAGGAAGAGGATATAGTATATATCATGAAAAGTAGGTAGCTGAAAATATTAAGCAGAGATAGGGAGTAGGTAGGAGAGCGATATCAAGGATGAGTAGGGAGCAGTATGTATATCAAGGAGGAAAGGGAAGCAGTTTATGTCAAGGAAGAAAAGGGAGCAGTATATATCGAGGAGTAGAGAGCAGTATATATCAATGAGGAGTGAGGAGTAGCACATATCAAAGAGGAGAAGGGAGCAGTTTATTTAGAGAAGTGAGCAGTATATATCAAAGAGGAGTAGGGAGCAGTATATATTGAGCAGGAGTAGAGAGCAGTATATATCAATGAGGAGTGAGGAGTAGTATATATCAAGTAGGAGTAGGGAGCAGCATATATCAAAGAGGAGTAAGGAACAGTCTATATGAAGCAGGAGTAAGGGGCAGTATATATCAAGCAGGGGTAGGGAGCAGTACATATGAATAAGGAGTGAGGAACAGTGTATTTCAAGCAGGAGTAGGGAGCAGTATATATCACTGAGGAGTGAGAAGCAGTATATATCAAATAGAAGTAGGGAAAAGAATATATCAGTGAGGAGTGAGGAGCAGTGTATATCAAAGAGGAGAAGGGAGCAATAATATCAAGGAGGAGGAGGGAGCAGTATATATCAACAAGAAAAGGGAGAAGTGTACATCAAGCAGGAGTGGGGAGTGGTATATATCAAAGAGGAGTAAGGGGCACTTTATGATAAAGAGGAGAAGGGAGCAGTATATATCAAGGAGTGGGGAGTAGTATATATCAGGGAGGAGGAGGGAGCAGTATGTATCAAAGAGGAGTAAGGAGCACTGAATAACAAAGATGAGAAGGGAGCAGTTTATATTAAGAGGGAGTAAGAGGAGAAGGGAGTAGTATATATCAAGGAGGATTGAGGGGCAGTATGTATCAAGGGGGAGTAGGGAGAAGTATAATCTAGCAGAAGTGGGGAGTGCTCTAAATCAAAAAGGAGTAAGGAGCACTCTATAACAAAGAGGAGAAGGGAGCAGGGTGTAGTATATATGGAGGAAAAGTGGGCAGCAGTATATATCAAAGAAGAGGAGGAGGGAGCAGTATATATCAAGGAGGAGAAGGAAGCAGTATATATCAAGAAGGAGAAGGATGCAGTATATATCAAAGAAAATTAGGCAGCAGTTTGTATCAAGGAGATGGGAGTACTATATATCAAGGACGAGTAGGGAGTACTATATATCAAGGAGGAGAAGGGAGTACTATATATCAAGGAGGAGAAGGGAGTACTATATATCAAAGAGATGGGAGTACTATAGATCAAGGAGGAGAAGGGAGTACTACATATCAAGGACAAGTAGGGAGTACTATATACCAAGGAGGAGAAGGGAGTACTATATATCAAGGAAGAGAAGGGAGTACTATATATCAAAGAGATGGGAGTATTATATATCAAGGAGGAGAAGGGAGTACTATATATCAAGGAGGAGACAGGAGTACTATATATCAAGGAGGAGAAGGGAATACTATATATCAAGGAGGAGAAGGGAGTACTATATCCAGGAGAAGAATTGAGCAGTATATATCAATGAAGAGTATGGAGCAGTATATATCAAGTAGGAGCAGGGAATAGTGTATATCAAGGAGGAACAAAGAGTATTATATATCAAGGAGAAGTAGGGAGCAACACAAAGCAAGAGGGAATGGGGAACTGTGAATATTAAGGATGAGCAGGTAGTTCTATATGTCAACCAGAAGTAGGCAGCAATACAAATCAAGAGGGAACGGGGAACTGTGAATATTAAGGATGAGCAGGTAGTTCTATATGTCAACCAGAAGTAGGCAGCAATACAAATCAAGAGGGAATGGGGAACTGTGAATATCAAGGATGAGCAGGTAGTTGTAAATATCAACCAGGAGGAGGTAGCAGTATATATCAACAAAAAGTGGGGAACTGTGAATATTAAGGATGAGCAGGTAGCTGTATATATCAAGTATGAAGAGAATAGGGTTTCTGTTAGTTTTCTACATACTTATTAAGTTGATCCTACAGATTGTAAGGAAAATGAGTTGGTGTCAGGATAAAATAAGGGAAAATAACTTGTACAGTATTTGGAAATTACCTGAGTGAACCTTTTGGATAAATTCATTGAAAGTACCATACTCAATGGGCCTCTCCTGTTGCAAATAATTGTACCACTGAAATGGTCTTTGTCGAGTCGCAGTCTTTTCACTTGGAGCATCATCAACTTTGTTGTTTAAATCTGGCACAGTACTAAGAAATGAAACAAGTAATCTTTTGTCCAAGTTTTCCATTTTAATTAGCAAATCACCTGGAAAATAAAATCAAGGAAAAGAGGAATATAAAAACTACAATAAGATAAAAAAAAAAAACTGGACTATGAATGAATGATCATGGTGATCGCCACTAGATTTGGTCTATAATTATGTAACTGAGTTACCCTACAATGCGTTGAAAAAGTGTCTCTTTCCTATCTACCCTGGATAAAGAAGTTTGCGTGCAATAAATGCTTATGGTTTTCTTTAACGGTTGCAGGCTTTCTGATCAGTGATAAAGAATGGACTGAGCTAAACATGATCCTTTATTGAAGTCACAAGTACACTTTTCTGACCCCAACAAAGCACAACCAATATTGTGGGGTACACGTCAAAGGTACACTTTTTACATTAACTCAATAGAATAGTTATTTACCACAAATCTGAATCAGCCGGAAAGCATTTTGAAACATTGTCCAGTCCTCACTGATTCCCTCATTGGATGTGACGTCCACTTTAGAATCAACATCTAATGAACATTCTTTTCTTAAAATTGAAACACATTCGTCCATTCGTCCAGTATATGCCCCAAAGAACTCCTTCAAAGAAATGTGACCAACACTGTCAATTATGGCTTTGTTAACAAATAGCAGTCCAAAAGAATGTTTGGTTTTACTTTAAGGAAAAAAGAGGATAGCAACCACCATAATTTAATTCAAACGTCTTGCTGTAGAGAAGACATTAAAGAACTGGAATCTGAGCTTGTTAGTAAATGGCACAGACTTTCTTTGGATGTGCAAGTAGCAGTGTTCAGATGGAGGCAGTGTTTCTTAAGAATTTTGGTGTGCAAGTTAGTTTTGCTGTAATTTTCTGTTACCCCTTGTGGTGGAGTTTGACAAATCACTCTTCTTTAATTTACCACTAAAAAAGAAAACTTTGGTTGGTTCTTACCTCTAAAACATGGCATAGACCACGGGCAGCATAACCATCAGTAAGGTCAATACAATACTCAACAGCCTGCCAAAAAACAAATTACGAAGAAAAAAAAAAAACAGATGAAACAAAACTTAATTGAGAAATGACAGCTCTATGAACTTCAAAATAAGCCAGTGACCAAGTATGTTAACTATTTAAAGGAAGGGATATCATTGTCTTTAGAGTAACTAATAAAAGTACTTATTATAGTAACCATAGATCAGGAAACAGTTTCATAAAGGCATTGCATCTACGTATTTCTGATCACATGTTGGCCTGTGAATATGATTCAGTTCCCTTAATTTACTTCATTTAATAACAGTTAAATTAACAAAATTTTATTTTGCCCTGCAAATATTATTTATTTCTTTTCATCAAATGTTATTCTAAGTCACTTCTTCTAAGAAATGAAGAACCCACTAAAATTTGGCTTGTTACCAACAGTGGCTTTCAACTAGTATCTGGGAGGCACAAATTCAAATTTTGTCAAAGCCTTTGCAGGCTTTTCTTCTGCAATTTCTGTACTTGCAGAGCCCCTGCAAAGATCACATCACCATTAATTTTTTTTTTAATCATGCACAGGTCGAAATATCAGTTATTTCACTTCATTTTGATAAGAATTCTTCCATAGTGAGTAATAAAATTTCCATCATGTACATGCAAGCCAGTATCAGATGATAAGTACCTGCTCAGCTAGGTGAAATATTTTCTCAACAGATTCAGCCATAAAACTAGCAGTCTCCATGAACCCATCACCTTGCTGCAGGGAGTGAAACATCATAGGCAACACAGAGTCATATCTAATGTATCTTTCATAATTCAGTATGTGTTGTTTATTCCGGTCTTCAATAACATGTGAAGTATGGGTTTCAGAATCAAGGTTGTGTTTCATGCCACCATCATTTATTACAATTAGAACTATAAAATCCAGTCACAACCCAAGAATATGACCATTTTATCCCTTTTTGAAAAGTCCACAAAATCACTTTCCTGGGAGTGGGAAATAGAATTCACCCATTGGCTTAAAATCAGGACACAAGTAATTATTTGCTAAATTTTGGGAGTAAAATCTACAAATTAAATTACTGTAAGTTGCGCTAAATTCTGGTAGTACTGTAAGGTACAAGTAACTCTTCCCTGTAACATCCATACATTACCCAGCAAACAGGTAAAGAAAAGACTGTAAATCCTCTAATAAGCCCACTAGGGACCTTATTTATTTCAGGTACTTTGGGGGTGGGGCTTATTAATTTAGCCCGATGTCCATTACTAGGATGCAATAGGATATGATATACCGTATTTTTTGTTTATTCTAAAATTGTTCTCATTTACCAAGTTGTAATTCCATACACTGTTTTCTTTTAATCCAAACATGGTAACATCAATCAATCAATCACCATAATCAATTTTAAATGACAAACTAACATTACAGTACTTGAATAGATTTATCATATTTACTGACATGGAGTGTTATTTTGAATTNTACATGAGCCTCTGGCTCAGGCAACATGGGTAACCATGCCCAACATAAAGACATTAAACTTTGATTACTATTACTTACTATTACTATTACTATTTACAAAGATGGAAATTGTGATTTTTTTATGTATCAAAGGAGATGAAAAGGGCTATGCAAGTGCATGATTTTGTCTTTACCAGCCGTGTTGCTTGTAGCTGCTCCACAAGGAATGTCTGCTGTAATGTTGGATAATCCAACAGGTACGGGTTGTAAGGAGAGTACACTACGTCAACCAATTGATTCACAGCATGGATGCTGCATTTGTCTGCAGTGCAAAGAAAGATCACAGGTTAAATTTCCCTCCTCAGCTGAGAAACTTTTAATCCTATAACTCCCATGAGTGACCAAGACAGAGTTTCTCCAGGACCTATAATATCAATACAGCATCAAACAAGACAAGTCATGAGAAAAAAGAAAAATATCAATTAGTTTATCCAACGCCAATTTCTCCAAACTTGCATCTTAAGAATTGTATAGCAGACAGTTGGGAGAATTATGAATAAGATCATGGAAGTGAAAGGGTTAAAAAATTACAGAACAGAAGAACAATAACAATGTGGGCTATTTATCAATAAACTGCACCTTGCTGTAGTGAAACTGCCTTTTCTAAGCCATGAGCAAATCGTAATGTTACCTGTAAGTTAAGAGATTTAATTCAAAATTTGAGGAAGAGACAAAATTAATTGCCATGCCCCTAATTTGAGAAGAAGTCACACAAACGCCTTATGCTCACATGTGGAAGAGGAAGACACCATTATATTGGGTAACTATCATGGGGATATGGCAAATCGTTTGTTCATCAGTCTAACTTTATCTTTACGCCTTGAAATGTCATAACTACGTTAAGAAAGCCTGCTATGAGTTACCAAAATGTGAATTGATATAAACAGAAAAGAGCGCCCATTATTGCAATCATTTTTTGAATTAAAGGCCTAAGCTAGGTTATAAATATCCACACTCACTTGTCGCAGCTCAATCAACTTTGCAATGACATTTGATTGGTTCTTTATAAACTCAGTGATGCACGATGACAATGATGGGTCTAAATGACCAAGCGTTTGACTGATGAGTGTACATAGTACAGTTCCAGGCTCAGTGAAAACTTGACCACACCAAGTTACCTGAGAGTGAAATCATTTCCAACAAAGGTTAAAGGGAAAGTGAGTAATCCAACTGTGAGTAGCTCATGATCAACTAGCCACAACTTATTCTCTTGTTTCCATTACTTGAAGTGACCAGGAGTATTGCGACTGTCACTTCTTCTGGACAGTATACTAGTCCGTCACATGTCTCTCTCCCCTCCTCCCCTCCCCCCACCCAGAATTTGATAGGGTTTCTTCCTTCCCTCCCCCACCCAGAGTTTTGTCAAGTTTCTTCCTTCCCTTTCCCCACCCAGAATTTTGTCAGGTTTCCCAAAGAGAGAAAAGTGCCCATTACTAATCATTGGCCAGGGGTACTGTGTTTCCCACCTGATTTTAACTATTAAACAAGCTAAATGGCTCCTTACTAACTTCGGATTATCCCTGTCTCACTAGTGTAAGGCTCTAAGTACCCGTAACATTGCTTATCCTCCTAGAGAGGAAGCTAGTCCATCACTGAGAGTTTACTAGATTAGAACTGCAAACAGTCAGTCAGGATAAATAGTTAACCACACTTTACAATATCATGGTTAATTTTACCATATTTTTAAACTCAAGGTATTATCAACTAATAACCCTACTACATTGTAAATTCATCTTGAAAATAATGCTAGCAGGATCACATTTTAATTACCTCTGTATGCCAGGTTGATAGGATAACATCATAGAATGTTGAAAGCCACTCCAGCATTGACCTATTTGGATCCTCAACACGCACTTCATTCCAGGTCTTTTGCAATTTTGTCTATCAATTTAAAGAGAAGAAAACATACTAATTAATTATTTTATTATGATTAACTTTACAGTTACTAGGGTTTATAACAGGGATCATTAACTCCATTGCCATCATCATCACTGCCATCATCATTTGTTTCTTGTTCCCTGAGCAGTTCATTGAAGGCCTCCAAAGTATTTCAATAACAGGTATGAAATAAATAATTATAACCATGCAAGGCTGTAGTCTAGTTGCACCCGGTGGCCCCTGGCACCTTACTTTTGCTCTTGGGCAACTCAGAAATTTTAGTTTTTTCATAAAAAGCATATGCTGGGCACCCTGGACTTCACAGTTTCAGAGCACTGGGCTCCATTCAATTTTCCTTAGAGCACAGCCTTGATAACTATTTAAAATTATAGTATTATCACTACTAAAATCAATTATTAAGAACCAAGAGTGGTCAACTCTCCGCAATATCAATGTGCAATCATATGAGAGGGTAAGGATAATCAGAAATCTGATCACGTAAGGAAATTTCCCAGATCTTTACCAAATTCTCAGAATCATTATCAAAAAGTCGGTGGAAAACAGTGCTAAGAAATAATATGTTGCCTAGGATGCTTAAACGGTGTACTGGTTTCCTGTGTAATTTACTTGCATTGTAGCAATAAATGATGTTACAACAAATTTTGGGGACTACCGACCCGTTCACATGATGGGGTTCAGTCCCCTCACGTCAGCATAATGTATTTCAGTGTTTGTGCAAAAAGCTTCATTATGTTATGCAGTTTGTTGTTGCATGTCTTTAAGCTGCGTCTCACGTTTTTTCAAGATCCAAACTGTCTGATGTGTTTTAAGTTTTCATTTCGTTGCATTTATTTAGTTCATTATTTCATTTATGTTGTTTATTTTCGGTAGTTAGATTTAGTGTAATTTAATTTAATTTGTTATGAAAGAAACCACTGGTCAAGAAATAAATGTATATGGTTGGGATAGCCATTGAGTAATGTTACCAGTGCACACATTACAAATGAGTGCCCTTATTTCCTTAATCGCAATAGCCTTGATGATTTCAGGATGAAACATGTACTGCACAGATTATAATTGGTACACAAAGGTGATGGTTAATGTTCAGTGATTATAAAAGCAGACTGCCACACAAACCTTATGACATCTAATGTAATAATTTTGAAGCTGATCCAGTCTTTCAATGTTTGTAAATATTTTGACATATTCTCTAGTATCATCTGCAACAAAAACAACCATGTTATGAGAAGCATTCATGGAACCACTGTGATATGATTGTAAAAATTAAAGATAAAAATTGTACACACAGGGCCCTTGTTAAGAGCTGGTTACCGGTTACTTTTACCGTCTGTTCAAGTAAATTTTACCAGCTAGTATGGCATATTTTCAAACCAGTAGCATGTGATAGATATCTTCACAACAATTAATTTAGTTGGAAGGAGAAAAGAGATATTTTTCCAAAAAAGTAAAAAAATCATGGATAACTTCAGTAAATATTTCAGTCCTAGGTCTCAGTGAAACTGTTAATTAAAAGAAATCCTGCTTTTTTTACCAAATTCCTCTCTCGCAGTCACCATGTGAAATGACCTCTGCCATGTTTTCTATTCCATTCTTCTCACAGCCAAGCGAAAAGGCCCAGCAGTTATTGAGAAATGTCATGGTTGGCAACATGGTGTCCACACGTGGAAAACCCACCCCTAGACCTCAGTGGGGGCCTTTGCAGCCCGCACACCCCAGCAAGGGGGAAGGTAACAAAGTTACCTGCTATTTCTTATTTTTTAACTCCTATGAAAAACTTTAGCAAGAACCCAGTACATGTAAATATTAATCACTTAAGATATATTGTACATATTTGAAAAGGAAAGTTGAAAACTATTTGTACGTGTGAAAACTGACCACGCTACTTACAAGCCAAGCACGCTTTTATTTTAAATTACCTACTTTTAGTTTGTAAAGAGAAACTGGGACAAAGTGATCAATAACCAAATTGGAGGGATGAGGGCATATTAATTTAAAATCAAACATCTCTAAATTCAAGTTTTCCAGGGATGGCGTAACTGCACAACAACTTCCACTTAAAAAGTAACTTTAGTTATACACCGAATCAAAATATGGCGTCCAATTTGAATTGCCATTGGTCTGGACTGACTAGCCTCTCACACATGTGATAATCCTTTTGTTTTTCCACGTCAAAACAAGGCTAGTAAGTCCAAAACAATGGTAATTCAAATTGGACGCCATATTTTGATTCGGTGAATGAGTAACATTTCTCTGTCACAAAGAAGGTCTTACCAAGAGAATGATTATTGAATGCAGCCACAATCTTTGGACTCAGGAGTGCCTCCAGTCTGTTTTTAAGCCCTTCAAGTCGTCTACGTCTCTGTGCATAGTCTGGAACATCTTGTAGGACAGTCTTTGGAATAGAAACATAAACACTGAAGTGAGTTGCTAAATAAAATGCACTCCCCTGGAAAATTTATCTTACCACCGTACAATGTTTTGGCGAGAGTATGACAAACTTCAATCATCTATTCTTCAAAGCTGCCCATCTAACTTGAAGCAAAGGTGTGAAATGTTTATCCCAAATCTTTTTTGATGGACCCTTTTCACAACTGCTGCTATATAAAATGTAACAGACTCAATAATGTAATACTAGTGCATGAAGCAGTTTCATTCATTTGACAACTTCAGGAAAACATTACAAATCAAAACAAACTTTGGATTTTTAAGGAAAATGTACTTACCAAACTTTTGTGCATTCCTTCCAGTTTTGCTGCAATCTGAAATTGAAACAGGTTTCATCACTTAATATGCCTGCTTGTGAGTCCAAACAATATCTCACTTTTTATATTTACTGGTAAGTTTTAAGGGACAACTGCTGTGTAAGAGCATCAAGAGAATTGTTCTTTTATTCATAGAAAATACCTCTACAGAGCGAATGAGTTAAGGTATATTCAAAATTAATATATATACTTACAGCACTAACATCCCCAGATTCAAAAACTTTATCCACATCAGATGACAGCACTGTCCAGTTATCTGCTTCCTGTCAAAAAGACATAGAACACCACTTGAAAAATTAATATTACTAACTAAAAATTAACATCAGTATGTCATTTTTTCCATATTGTTCTCAATAGATGTCTTAAAGTGCCACTATGATCAAAATTTTGCATTGCCTTTTCTTTTCCCTTCTGGAAACTAGAAGTAAGAAACACTTACCATGCCAAGTTTAATGGCAAAATTCACACGGAAAGTATGATTATTTCAACATTGTTTTTCGTTTTTGGTTGCCCGCCATTACTCAATTCAAAAATGGCCGAGTGTGGCAAAAAGAGTTGGCACTAGTTGGAGCCTTTCGGAAGTGACGTCATATGCGCAGCTCGACCCAAAAAACGTGGCTAAATTTGTATGCCATTTGGAAGAAGAATTCGAGGAAGAATACATCATATAAAACGCCTAGAATTTCCACTGTGGAATCTCTCACAACACACGAAGCAAGATGCGAAAGTGCGCATATGATGTTACAGGCCAATTCATGCGTAAAACCGCTTTTCAGTTCAGTCGCTGGCTCTCGGTTGCAAGCTGAGTAATGGTGGACGGGTTTTTCATGAATTTCAACCGGCTATATCAAGGTGTATTTCGCTTCCATCGACCTAAAAACTATCGCATAGTACAATTCTAACCACATTAACTTGATTGCCGCTAAAAAATGTCACAACCAGAGACAAAAATTTTCGTCGTAGTGGCACTTTAAGGTGTTGACAAGGAGAATTTGTTTAACAATCAAGAGCTTCTTCAGGTGGTGATCATTTCCTTTATTCTCCTGACCTTAATGTGTGCTTCAAGGGTGATATCGTCAGGAGAAATTAGATTCTAGTCACCCTCAGAGGTCAAATGGTTTTAGAGATAAGTATAGCACATGAGAGTGCTGTATTTGATGTTAATATTTGCATGTACCTTAAGAGCTCTTGATGCATCTTGCATTCTTGATTTAACAGTATCAATCTCCATCAACATCTTCATTGATTGTGCTGTATTTTCTTCAACCTGAACAAGAATGATAAACGTTTAACCTTTCACTCCCAAGATCTTTTTACTAAATTCTCCTCACTGCTTGCCATACAATTCTTGTAATGTTAGTTTGGAGAATTTGGTATTGGAGCAACTGATGTTTCCCTTTTTCATATTTTTCTTTATTCTCATCACTTGTCTGCTTGATAGTGTTAAAAAAGATGTAAGGAGAAATTCTGTCTTGGTCACTCATAATAATATCATAATATAAACTTATTGCTATACAATGCATATACGGTAAAAGCCAAATGAAAGAGGGATGTTGATAAAAGACCCTCCAAGATGAATTTGAAGTGATGATCAGGGCTCAACACTAATGGTAGCCCACTAGCCACAGACTAGAAATTTGGTTTTTACTAGTGGTTTTCCATTTTCAGTAGCCAGTTTGGCTAGTAAACAAACTGAAATTGTTGTAACATCTAAGTTGTCACCAGCCACTTGGCAAGCAAGTTGAAAAGTTAGTGTCGAACCCTGACTATGAGATAACATTCATTGACTTTCTAAAGAATCTTCAAGTTGTTAATTAGAATTATTGATCTCTTATGCATTAATCATTATGTACAAGATATTGTGGGCATATTGGAGTTAACTGTAACTGTTTCTGTGATAGAAACATCAAGAAAATGGAAAAGGCCACAAAATGATTCAGCAGATTCTGCTGAAGTATTTCTGTCAGCATTAACTGCTTAAAGTAATCATATCAACAATTGACCAATTGTAGTTAATGTATCTCCAAATTCAAGAACAGCATGTTTACCACTCTAATGTCTTCCTTCACAAGATTCATTTGTTCCTTCAGAAGGGAAGCATCATGACGGATGTTCTCTATCTCCCTTAAAACTCTGAGAAAGGAATGGTGTCAAATATAAATGTCACAATGTTATATATAGTAATAAGACCAACTTTATTGCAATCATAGAGACCAAGGCTCCAACACTTGTGAAACATTTGTCAATGACATTGTAAAAAATATTGTCCAGTCCAGAGCAAAACTGCCATATTGTGAAGAGCTAAATTTTAGCCTAAACAAGTCAGAAAGTGCATAATCTGAAATTTGTGCAAAAGACTTCATGAAACACATATGATTGTGACCAAATATCAAAATTAGATTGTACCTTGGAATTTTATTCACTGATTGAGTGCTGGTTTCCTCTAAGGCATTATTAACCTCCTAGAAACAAAATAATATATTGGTGTTAGTAAAGCATATAAAAGATTTCATAAATATAACATCAATCTTAAGGAAAATTTTTCAGATAGATTAATTCATTCAGCTAAATACTTCCAAGAAATTTGTTCATTATATAAACATTTAGGTTTGAGTAGCAAAACAGTAAAGCTGTTGAGGGTTTATTTGTCAGTACCTCAACTGTATCACTCAGTCAGAACAACTGAATCAAAACACTGCATTTTCAACAGCAGACTATATTTTTGATTTGCTCAAACTCTGCAAAGGCAGCCTCGGTTGAAAAAGTCATTTTGCAAAGCAACCACTATGAATTTGCAGTTTCAATGGGAAGCTTCAAAATTAGTAGCAACAAATTTAAGGTCACTAATTTTTAATGAAACAGCAATTGAAAAATTTTAAATTAGATTGAGTACCTTTTTCTTAACCAACCCAAGCATTAGTCAGTTAACTTGTTTTCCTTTTGAGCTCTCATAGACTTTAATTGAAATTTTCCTTTGCTATAATATAACTAGCTTCAATAGCCACTTTGGCTTTGGTTTTAAGAATCTCAAATGAAATATGCTTCATTGAAATGACCATATAAACAAACCTGTATAAATAACTGTAACTTCATGACCAAGTTTGATGCATGAGCCTTCAAAAGATAAGTTTGGATATATTAGACAGTGGAACAGGGCAACAGGAGTAGAGAGAAGATATTGCAGTCAAATAAGTGGAGATGGGCTTGATTGTGTAGTCTTTTTTTTTTCTTGAAGAGCCAATTATAATCTGTATATGTGAATCACTAACTTCGATCTCCATTCTATGCTAATTAAGATTCTTAACTGGGAGAATCCACAGAAAGTCAATTGAAAGATAAATTCACACATAGTTAGTAGAGACATAACACATCCATGAGTACATAATACATGTTTAAGAATGTAAACAGAGTAAACTACATGCACTCGTATGTAACTGGTCTGATAGACACAAAAGTAGGGATTCTTCATGGAAAACTGCACCGTTGAATAGATTTCGACCAACTAAATACCAAGATTTAAAACTTTAAGACAATTATGTATATGTGTATAAATTATTTGTGACGATTTTAGAATTACTGGAACAGAAGTTTGTACAGGACTATGGGGTGGTGGAAATTTTCTTTAGAAGCAAATGCATGAAGAGGTATCGAATGCTACAAACTTCAACACAGTTTACGACGATATCATCTGGACGACACTAACTTAAAAATTATGTACACATCACAGACACGTCGCAAATTATTTAAATATCCTTCCAACTCACGTCAATAGGAGTTCGATCATCACGAATTCTTAGTGCCGAGTTCACCCACTCTTTGACATCAAAATTATCATCAGAGAATTTGGAAAAGTCCATACCGTTGAGCGAAAATAACACAGAATGTAGGCAAAAACAACAGTTCCACCTCACAAGTTCTTTGCCGCCATTTTGAGTTTTACTTAGTAAATATGTGGTGTAATGGTCATATAGTGGCTCAACAGGCTGCTCCATGTATTTTGCGTCCTCCATCCGCTGATTTAAGGTTCAAAAGAGAAAAATACGACCAAATTAAACGCTCCCTCTTTCCTATTTCAAATGAAATAAATAACAATAATAATAGTAGTAAGAACAGAGAGTGAGTTTTCGATTCACCGCGAAGTCTTTAGTCACCACGCGAAGAGAACGCGTCCTCGTGTATGAAGGTGCGAGGCGTGGGTGTCTTATCTTGACGTCATTGGCTTCCAGTCCTAAATTCCTCTTTGCCACGAAAGCAGAAAGTTAGAAAATGGCTGTTGCCTGTTTTATGTAAAGGACGCGTCTGGTCTCTAAACGCCTGAAACCATGTAATTTGGTCAACGAACTCTTCACTTTACCCGTAGACTGGACTTTTGTCCACTCAGCTCGTCGTGATGAGTTGGTGTGGGTTGTTATCGTTGGTTGCATGTCTTTATCTTGTTTATGCCGGTGGCGAATCCAGTCATTCCCCGATGACACCCGAGGAGAAACACACGATGAGGTTGGTTTGCCTCTTAAAGCCGCCAGTTTTGTAAGCCAGCCTTTTTGAAGGACATGAGAGTAATATTTTACTGAATTTTTACAGGGTTAAAGTGTTGGAAATGTTTCACCATGCCTACAACTCTTACATGGTTAGTATTTATTTCGAACACAACTACCTTTTGTTATAGGCCTTACACGACTGTTACGCAAACGATCTCACATACGAATTTTGATGTGTTATTGTCCTACAACTTCATTGCTCGTCTACATTTTTCGGGGGCTTCAATCAAACGAGGGACTTGTTGTATTAAGTAGATATTATGCATAGTACAAGTTGTGCATGTGCGTGTTATTTTATTTATCACGTTTACTGCGAAACTTCTTACTTTTTAAGAGTCGTGTAAATTTTTGACAGATTGAGCGGAATCCGTAACGAAATTCATAATGCCTTTGGCTTTTGTCACGAAAACCATAGCGATATGGTAGATAAGAATCTAAGAAAGTCAAGTTATATAATTTTATATTGGTAAACTGTTGTGACGGAAGTGAAATCTCGGAAGGTATATTATTAAAATATTTTGTTCTGGTCTTTTATTGGTGAACATGATTTTAAACAAGTTAAGCATTGAGAGTTGAGCTTAATTCGGGAGTCAACAACTGAATTTTGTTTTTAATATTCAATTAACAGCTGGGTATATATTTATTTTCTATTCTAATACATATTTGCTGTTTTACATATTAAATGCTACTTTACAATAACATTGATCTCACTTTGAGTGCAAGAACTTGCAGAGTAAATTGAGAACTGCAAAAGATCGCTCAGTTAAAGTGATATGAAATTCAGAGGGATCAATTTTCATATTATATCAGTATCTGATTTGATATTTCTTTCAGAAATGTTCGGATTTCCCATATCTCTGGGAGGTGAAAACTATTTTTGAATGTATCAATATCTTACCAAGATGTGGCAAGATCTTGTTGTGATATGAAAAATCCCTTTGATTAAAACAGTTTTAAGGAGGAAATCCTTGTTGGGACTTTTTAGGAAGAGAAAACTCTTAGCTGCAGCAAATTTCATTGTGCTCTTCAGAAGAAAGTGCCACCGGCCATATACATGTTTTAAGAACTTTCACCTGTTCTGCTCAGATGTTCTAGCAATGTCATGACCTTGATGAGCTTAGAGTAGTAATGGAAAATTAATTAATTGACAAGGGAATTCCCCATTAAATTGCACATGATATTGCATGAATCACAAAGTGATGAGTGCGATATCAGTTTTCAAGTGCAATTTAATGCAAAATTTGTAAATCAATTAATGGATTTTCCTTGAATGGCATAATTTAATAAAAACAAGAAAAAAGAAAACAGCATTACTTATAGTTGTTATATATATGTAGATTCGAAACTTTTAGCCTCGTTTTCAACTTGCAATTCGATACTAAATACCATGCTTCGTTAACCAATCAGAATGCAAGATTTTATTCAATGATACAATTCTTATAAAAGACTTGTGTAGTGTTAGTAGAATGAGAGTTCTCAAAAGAGTTTTGTTGCCATGCAGTCTGAACAGAAAGGTGTTTGTTTAGTTGCAAATGTTTATAGGTATTGCCACTCTATTTAAAAGGACCTCAAGGAATCAGTCATTTGAACAAAAAGTGATCTCAGCTTTTTTGTTCATGCACTGGGTGTGAAAAATTTTTCAACCAGTAGTTGAATTGTGTATTATAACTTTCTGAAAAGTTGTTTATAAAACTGATGGCTTTGTTTTTATGACACAGCTTTTTAAATTAGTTTTGGTGATGTTCATGATTGCAAAGAAATTGTGAGATTATTTATAAATCCATGAAGAGGTTTATTTGAGAGCAATCAACTTGTAATCAGTTTAAATACTTTCGCAGAATTTTCTGATTTTAATATGAGTTACTCTTTTGTAATGGGGAATAATTAATGCCCTTCAGTTCCAAGTGCTACATGTATAGTAGAATCTTACCTTGGTATTCATATTAGAACCATGCATATCCTGCCGATGAGCTTATGCCACTCAGCTGTAAAGGTCGTGTACGAGGTGTAGACACAAGTCGGGGAGATGTTGACGATGCACTCGGAAAGTGAGTTAATTTTTGCAGTGTACGTCTTTATTATATATGTTCTGTCTTAAAATTTTCAAGAAGTAAACACTAAGTTGAATTTGATCATAGGTGACTAGTTGTTGTTGTAAATCTAAAGAAAAACTACCTTGATCAACAGACAAGGTGCTTTTGTAGCCTTGTCATTCTCAGCACCTCTCCAGATATTTACATTGTTAGTCCAGTCAAGTGAACAAAATGTTGTTTGTGTGTACATAATGGCAGGCTACCGTGATCACCAAGAATTCGGTAAAATACATCAGTGGGATAATTTCTCAGATTAACACTCTAGCCTTGATATTGGGAAGAAACTAGAGAGGCTAGGCCTTGCTCATCTTGTAACACTAATCACAGTAGTATAGTAATGCAAAATTTGTCGGTCAAACTTTGTCTGGATATTTGTTGAACTCATACTGAGAGAGCATGGTATGTATTTTTTCCTATTGAAATGTTTTACATTGTATCTGTATAGTGTAGTTGGTATTTACCAGGCAGCAGTCTATTAAGTGGATAGCATTATCTAGCAGTAGGTCAGCTAGCCAGGATCAATTACTGGTAGCTAGAGCCAGAATTAATACATTTTGATGCTTAACAACAAATGAAAAATTAGGTTATGATTAATCTTTTGTCTTTAAGATTTTCCTTGACATTGATTGACACATTGGACACATTGGCAGTAAGTTTCTTGTTCAGTAGTTTGTCTCCTTCAATGCAATTTTGTTTCTGATTTCTCTTTTTTTTGTAATTTTTGTAATTGTTTGACCTTACACCTCTTTTGGAATTTCTCTCTTTTTCAAGGTTTTGGGAGAAGTGGAGGAGTTTGAAAAGGCTGTAAGGCTCGTAATTCAAGATGTTTCATTTGATAATGATGTGGTAGTTTCAGTGTTTGAAACAAACATAAGAGTACTGGGGTAAGAAAGATACTGTACATCGACACATATTAATTATTCTACTATTATATGTCAATTTGCTATAGGAGGGCAATGGAACACACAAAATATGCTTCAGTAATACACTGTAGAACAAGACAAAAAATGGAGAGAAACAATCTGTATGATCTTCAATTTCTATTCTGTTTTTCAGACAATTTTTCAGCAACAAACTTCAAAGCCCACATTAATTTTTTTTGGTCATCATTTGTGCAGTTTTATTTTCTTTCAAGTACACCTTATAGACCACTTTCATAAATGGCTGCCGTATAAATATTCTTTTGTTTAAATTAGCCCTACTGGCCTCACTTGAGATAATGTATTCTTTTTAATTTTGTATTGGAGAACGAGGCCAGTAGGGCTAATTTAAATTTAAACAGAAGAATATTAATCCGGCAGCCATTTATGAAAGTGGTCTATGCAATCAGTATGATGCTCAGATAAGACCGTTTGAAGTTTTGAAATCTCAAAACCAGAAAACTAGAAAATGAAATGATAGAAGAATGGTGAATCCCCTTTTCTTTGTTTTAATCAGGGCTCGACACTAATGGTAGCCCACTAGCCAGAGACTAGTAGAAATTCAGTTTTGACCAGTGGTTTTCAATTTCCACCAGTCAGTTTGGCTAGTGAACAAACTGAAATTGTCGTAACATCTATAAACATCTAAGATGTCACTAGCCACTTGGCTAACAAGTTGAAAAGTTAGTGTCAAACCCTTTAAATGTATAATATGAGTAGACATTTTGCTGATTGCTCATATTTTTACTTGCCCCTACAGGGCTCAAGAAATACCATGCAACTTGCAAAATATCCATGCACATTATATGTTAAACTATCTGAGAAGCTGTATTTAATGATCATAAGTTGACCAAGACAGAAGAGTAATTTGTGAACCCTTTGTTTACTTATAAATATTTGTCTCCACCTATGCCTGTAGTAGACGAACTGTTTCCTTTCCTTTTTTCCAAACCTTAAATGATTGATTCACTTTTAGTACAGTAAGGAGACAGTAGATGCTATTCACTTGTGAAGGCACATTGGGTCAGTCCCTCAAATTTGACATTCCTACTACAGAGAAGTTAACTCTAGCAAACAAAGAGCTGGCAAGTTAATTATGTTTATCTTTGCACAGGGGTCTTCTTGGTGGTCACTTTGCTGCACTGGCATTGAAGAATTCAAAGAAAGGCATGTTGTGGTATAACAATGAACTAGTAGACATGGCAAAGGAAATTGGCTATCGTCTGCTTCCAGCCTTCAACACCTCCACTGGAATGCCTTATCCTCGAGTAAGTTACACGTACATTCCATTTATGGTAGTTTATGTCAGTTTGTGTCTTGATTATCCAGACCTCGCTTGGTAGTTTGTGTCAATTTTTGTCTCAATTATCCAGGCTTCGCTTATCGGGATCTTTGATTATCTTTGATTACCTTTTTCTCTGGTCCCAGTTTTGTCATGAATATTTAACAATTATTCCACGAGCACGCTATGGATATGAGATGATAGATAGCCAACGAGGCGCCTAAGGCAGAGTTGGCTATAATCATCTCATATCCAACAAGCGCGAGTGGAATAACTGTTTTATTAAAAACTCTCCCAAGAAATTATTATTTTGTAGAAAAAACTGGATTTTTAGCTCCCTTTTGATTTTAAGCTGATGCGTACGCTTGCCATATTTGTAGATTATGGTATATATTGGCTCTTATACCATAATGGCTAAGCCAATAAAAAGTCTTGAATTGCATTATCCAATGATCCAGTTTTTGGTAATATATTTTATTAGTCATCATCAAGCTTCATATCTATCTTCTATTCAAAACTACAGCATTGAAAAGTGAAGTAAAGGCAAGCCTGTTTCCCTTTCAAAAAGCGAAAGCAGTGCTTTTATGTGTTGTAACTACTGAGCAACATTCGAATGGGGTCTGATTGGTGTTATTTTGTTGCTAAGTAAGATTTCACAGCTCAATTGGCTCATTTGGCGTGGTTGTTATTACACACATGTACAACAGACAGTAAAGCTGAAGACCGTAACTTTCTTTCAAAGTGACTTGTAAATGTTTTGTTCCATGATTAAATGTCACTTTCTTAATTTAATAAATTTTTTTTCCTCGTTAAGATTCATATTCTTGATTATGTGGACCCTTGGTTATCCAGAATATTTTGTCTAAGAGTCTGGATAATCAAGATTCCACTGTATTATAATCCAACAAACATAATGAGAACATTTTTTAAGACAAAATTTCTACCAACAACTGCAAATGAAAAATAGAAAGTATATTATAATTGGTACTATGGAGGATTCCAGTGATCTGGAAGTTTCTAGGATGGTTTTTTTTGAAGGACAAATATACAACACGTGTAGCTTACATTTGCATTGTACAGGAAAATATCCTTACATTTGTACGATGGCCCAGTAGGGTCACAGTCCCATTTTAATTTTTGACAGTCCAGTTTTAATTCTTGACAGTCCAGTTTTATATTTTGACAGTCCAGTTTTATTTTTTGACAGTCCAGTTTTATTTTTTGGGACACAGTCCAGTTTTATTTTTGGGACACAGTCCAGTTTTATGTTTTGACAGTCCAGTTTTAATTTTTTGACAGTCCAGTTTTATTTTTTGGGTCACTGTCCAGTTTTATTTTTTGACAGTCCAGTTTTATTTTTTGAGTAGTCACCAGATCTCCCTCGATTAAACCTTCATCTACTGTACACTGAAAGGGCGGGAATTTTAATTTTCCGCCATTTTGATTCGAAAGTACAAAAGTAAAAAATGCCATTACCAACATATATGCCATGCATGAGCGACAGTGATAATTCTGACAGAAATGAGTTGGAACTTATATCACAGTACTTCAAACAAGGCTACAGCAATCTGGAAATACTTGAATTTTTGAAACTCCATGACATAGCTATCAGTTTATCAACCCTGAAAAGACGTCTTCGATCCTTAGCCCTGTTGAGAAGATCCACCATATCTGATGATGAACTGAAGAATGCCATTGAGAAGGAACTTGGGAAAAGTGGTTGTTTTGTGGGATACCGTAAGATGTGGTCTAGGCTAAGAAAGGAAGGGGTTATTGTTGATTTTAAGAGCAACCATCATGAGGTGTCTCAGAGAAATCGATCCTGATTGCGTGGATAGCTGACGAAAAAAGAGGCTGCGTCGAAGGGCTTACCATTCAAAAGGACCAAATTTCATATGGCATATCGATGGCCACGATAAATTAAAGCCCTATGGCTTCAGCATGGATGGATTTATTGATGGCTTTTCAAGAAGGCTTATTTGGCTGGAGCTGGGCTCCACAAACAAAAACCCAGAAGTGATTGCAAAATACTATCTGGACGCTGTAAAGCAGTCAGGTGGTGTACCAAGAAAGATCAGATCGGATGATGGAACTGAAAACAGCGTCATTGAGGCAATCCATACTTACCTTAGGTCTTCACACGATGACAATGCCGGTGAGAGATGCTTTGTCATTGGCAGATCAACAGCAAACCAAAGAATTGAAGCCTATTGGTCCCAACTTGTAAAAGTTGGCCCTGGTTGGTGGATAAATTTTTTCAAAGATTTGTCAGACTTGGGCCTATGTTTTAATGGCTCTGACCCTGTTCACCAAGATTGTATTCGATTTTGCTTCATGAACATATTCAGACAAGAGCTTTATCAAGTTGCTGAAATGTGGAATCAACATCAAATAGCATCAAGCAAATTTGGTAACAGCAGTGGTCCAAGAGGAAAACCCCACTGCATGTATTTCCTGCCCCACCTCTTCAACACAGAGGACTTCAAAGAAGACATTGATCTCCATGAACTAAAAGAGTTTAATGATAATTCGACCATGTGTTCCGCTGATTTTAGTGAAGAGTTTGAGGAGTTTGCTTTAACAGTTATGAATGTTCTTGGACTGAGCTTACCACAAGATGTTAACGAAGGACTTGATCTCTATCTGTGACTAATTCAAAAGATTGACAGGTTAACATAACAAATGAGCTTTTCTGATGCAGTGCTAGGTTTCCAGACTTCCTTGGTTCAATTGACCTGTCGTAATTGCATAGATGTACAGAGGAGAGGTACTTTTAAGTGTCTATTATCTTTCCTCTGCAAATCTATCTAAAAAACATCTTCATTGCCTGCTCTTTTGCCAAGAGTTATATTATTGTTGCACTTCTTTCTGTAAAAACAGAATGCTTATGATATGAAATAAAACAACACACAAACACTGGAAAATCTTAATATCCTTTAATAATAGCATACACGTCTTGGAATATTCTGTCCAAGCGCATACTGACAACTTAATAACCAAAATCCTAAAGAACTGGCACCAAGCCATCTGCCCTCATGTTCCCCCTCTCTAACTCTCCTGAATATTCAAGCTTTACTTTGCTTAAGCCTTTTCAAAGCAGCAAATCATTTTTAACTGAAGCATTGTGTGATAGTCACATAAACTGGAAAGGGACAACAAGGCAAATGAATTGGGTCAGTTAATCAAATGTGAACTGAACATGTATAACATACTTCTTAGTTACCTAATTGATGAACAAACTTAACTCAACATGTGAGGCATTGTTCTTGTGTTAATGATTACAGTAAGGGAACCGCAAAGAACATAAGGGAGTACATATGGTATGATTACAAACAGTGCTATCTATCTCAAGATTGAAAACCTGTCACATGCAGAAAAAATAACAATGCTTCAGAACAATGTTTGTTCTGTCTTGTTTGCTTGTTTGTTTTTTTCAGAGTATGGACTGAAAGAAAGTTGACATAATGAAGAGGATTGACTTGGGAAATAAATTCTTTAGTCAGTCAATTCTTTTCATGGTTAGCATTGCTTCCCTCCCAATCCTTACACAAAACATGTAAAAAAAAACAAACAAAGAGCCAAACCAAAAGTAGGCAATTGAGCTAAGACAACAAGAGCAGATAAATAAATGCCCTTATTCATCATCATCACAGGGCCATGCAACCCTCCTTGGGTAAAGGTTGCAGAGGAAACTACACAACAATAGGTCATTTGGTCAATAACAGGCAAATAATTCTTACTATAACCAAAATTAACACAAACAGGTACAAATCAAGCAAGAAAATCAAGGTTCTAAACAAAATGTCCCCTCACAATTTGATAGTATGAATTCATTGAGGCGTTTCCCTTCCTCAAAGTAAAACTATAAGAAATATTTAATACTACATGTAGTCACAAGTGTGAATTTGCATGATGACAACGTGGCTTGAGGAGTTAACTCACATAATGTCCATTTCCCAGCTACTTTTTTCCAAGCTACTTTTTTCCAAAATATTATTGAACTGCTGTCTCAATTCAACAAAATTGGAATAAGTGGAAGGCAATTCCAGAAGCGGCCCACATGGGTGAGCTATATGTCTGGAACTAGCACCTTCCAGTCTGGTAAAGGAAACTTCAATCTTGTTGGTAATTAAGACATCAGAAGCTGTTGTGAACCTTAAGAACTGGACTAGTTTTGCATTGTCTAATCCTCGTATGTATCTTTGCAGAAATTTTAGCGCATCTCGTTCTGCTTCAGTGTTTGGCTGTGCTTCAAGTGAATTAAGAACTTTCTTGTTTGTTGGATTAATTCTATCATAAAAGCCTTGGATACCTGCAATAGTCTGAAACTGTGGATACTGTTTCAGCTCTTGGACAATAGGCTGCCAGGTGGCAACCATGACATGAGGTTTCTGTATCAGCTCCTGATTGGCAATCTCTACAAGCACTTTCTTGATATTCTCTGGACTGACCTGTGACCTACAATTGAATCTCTCTAGGAAATCAAACAAATCATCATTTTCATCTGCAAAGTCAGCTTTTCCAAGAAAATTTGTAACTAGCTCTTCTTCAACAGGAGACAAGTATTTAATGAAAGACTCAAGAACAATGCCTTCAGGAACTTCTGCATCAAACAGGCAGTAGCACATGAAAGCCTTTGATAAGAACAAAGGGAAGTAGGAAACTGATCTAAACCCCTTCACCAAAATTCGACCAATAGCTCCCCACTCCTTAATGAAATGATCATGCCTCACAAAGGGTACTCTTTCTCTTTCCCCTATTGTCATGCTATTTGCAAACTCCTTCCAGAATAAAGAGAAAACTTCTCTTGAAACTCCAATACCCACACCCTCTTCTTTTTGCCCCCTCTCATTGATAATTGTAAACACTAACTCAGATTGCAACATTTTCTCATCTTTAAAATGCTCAATCATATCTTTACAAATACAGGAACGATGAACTGTTAGTGAAAGCACCTGCCCTGCAATTTTACCATTTTCTGAAACTATGCATTCAGCTGATTCTCTTGGCATACCAACTGTACGTAATTGGACATAACCTCCCTCTTCAAGCACTCCACAAGACCCGTCCACAGTGCTAGGGGACACTTCTTCCTCACTTGGTGAAACAAGCCTTTGATCGTGATTATCTTGACTTTGCACAGTTGGGTGACAAGAGTCTCGTTGAAAATGGGCCAAACGGAGCTCTCTCATTTCATGCACAGACACTGGACTAATAAAGGAAGTCAACTGATCAATTGCCTGAATGCTTTCGGGCTGAAACTCTTCAGGTTGTTCAGTGTCAACTGAATCGGCCATGAGACTTTGCTGGTACTCAAGGTCCTGCTCACAACGGAGACAGTTTTGTCCTTTCTCAAAAGAACAGCTACAGACATTGCACGCCTCCTTGTCATCAGATTTAGTAGTACATGCCGTTACTGATACTGTGACAGAACTTACTTTTTTGGGTGATGTGTTGTCTGTGTTCGTCGCCTCAACGTAATTGCTGTCTTCAAATTCATCACCCATAAGATGTCGGGGTTGGGTGCATAGGTAAAAATAAGTGGAGGAAGGATACAATCCAGTACTCTTCAGGTAGTCTTCCACAGTTCCTTTGCCAGGAAAATCGAAAATTGCCACCCCCGTTGTGTCACAGATCCATTTGTTCATTTCATCTATATGACCAGCAAAACTGTTCTTTCCACCCGCAAAAAACAACGCACACGCCCTCTCCACAAGCTCTTCCATCTTCAGTGGATCTGTACCAGTATATGTTATAAAGCAATTGCCACCACCATTCTTTTGACCAACAGTAACAAACTTTTCCTTAGTTTGGTCATAATGCATCCATCTTACTTGTACCCTATGCTGCTTTTCAATTTTCCGCTTCTTGTTTGAACTGCTTTTACCACTACTGCCATGCCGTATTCAGTTCAGAAGACCAGATAGTCAGTTGAACGTTTGCAATGAAAATGTCTTCAGTGTCGATCCTGCCGAGACCAACCCTTCTTCATTTTGGCCACTATTATGTTAGCTAACAGAAGACACTGTTTCTGATTCAATAGAATTGGGGCGCTTCAGTTCCTCCCGCACAGTTTGTCTTATAATAGTGTCCATTATACAAAATGGCCACCAAACAAACAACACGTGCAACATGCAACACATCGAGAGAGATCTGTTGACTACTCAAAAAATAAAACTGGACTGTGATCCAAAAAATAAAACTGGACTGCGACCCAAAAAATAAAACTGGACTGTCAACAAATAAAACTGGACTGTGACCCAAAAAACAAAACTGGACTGTCAAAAAATAAAACTGGACTGTCAAAAAAAATTAAACTGGACTGTCAAAAAAAATAAAACTGGACTGTCAAAAATTAAAACTGGACTGTTAAAAAAAGTAAACCTGGACTGTCAAAAAAAATAAAACTGGACTGTCAAAAAAAATAAAACTGGACTGTCAAAAATTAAAACTGGACTGTGACCCTACTGGGCCATCATACATTTGCATGTCTGCATACAATATCTGTTCTGAGAAACAAACAGTTACATAGAAGAGCAATGCTGGAAGTGTGGTGACCTTTGAGATTTCACCTCGTTTTTATCAGAGAAAAGTGAAGGATCTTTTTGATATGATGTTGGTTGTAACCATGCCTATTTGCTAGATATGACATTCTTATTGCGAGAAGAAATTGGACATATGTACCTCATTCACTCATGGGAGTCATGTTTTTCACCTAATGATTTCCTGTTACATATCTACAGGTAAACCTCAAGTATGGCATCCAGCATCCATCATCAGGGACTGGCAGTGAGTCAGACACCTGCACAGCTTGTGCTGGAACAATGATCATGGAGTTTGGTGCCTTGTCTAGGGTCACAGGGGATCCAATATTTGAGGTGTGATTTGAATCTTTGCCTTTTTAAGTTTGGCTTGAAAGTGTGTCAGATTTAATAATCTGCACTTCTTATGGATAGTAAACCAGTTCTCAAATGAATTTGATGAAATCATTTTGTAAGAATTTAAATCAGTCTTAAGAAAAATTGACCTAAAAATGAAAAGAAAAAAATTGGTCCTGTGAAACTGGACAAACATGTACAACTCCTTTTCTGAATAGCATTAAAGCAAACAAAAAATGAAAAAAATAGCCATAGCATTTCATTTTCATCATCAATCCTTTTCATGCCTCTTGGCACATAGGGCCTTCACAGAGCTTTTCCATGAGTTCCTCTCAATTGGTTGCTGCTGTCCGCACCTCCTCCCACGACCTCCAACCTGCCTCATGCCTTTCTTTCTCTACTGTACGTCTCCAAGTGGTTTTTAGTCTTCCCCTTCTCCTTTTACCTTCTGGCGCCCAGCTCATAGCAACATTGCAATCATTATTATGATCTTTCTTAAGAATATGACCAATCATTTTCCATCTACGAGACATCACTTCCGCACTCGTGGCTTCATGCCTACCCTTTCCAGTAGCTCTTTGGTGCTGACATGGTCTTGCCATCAGATTCGGAGGATCCTTCGAAGGCACCTATTATGGAATACATTCACTGCTTTATCATCTCCTTTGTTCATCTTCCATGTCTCAGATCCATAGAGTAACACTGGCACTACTAGAGTTTTATACAGCCTCAGTTTTGTTTTCCTCAAGATGTTGTTAGAGATCCAGATCTTCTTTAGTTTGTTAAAGGCACCTCTGGCTTTTGATAACCTGTTCTTCAAGTCCTTCATGCCACCACCCTCTCTACAGACTTTGGCCCCCAAGTACACGAACTCTTTGACATCTTCAATATCCTGTCAATTGATTATGATATTTTCTTGGTTCTTTGCATTGATCCTGCATTTCATTTTAGGAACATTTATTTTGTATCGATAACTGACACTGAGTCTCCATTTTCTTGTTCATGAACAGCAAAAGGCCCAGAAAGCTATGGAGGCAATCTGGATCCATCGTAGTCGAGCTAGTGATTTGGTTGGCACTGTTATCAACATTCATAATGGTGACTGGGTTCGGAGAGGTAACTTTCACTTCATATATGCTATTCATGAATAAAAAAGGTATAAATGATAAGTCAATTCTTTCAGTTAGATCTGGTGACAAAATATGTTTAGAATTGCACATCAACTAATACAAATGTTTTAAAACTAACTTGCATGTAGCAAACCAATCCCTACCTGTAAGAATGCTATCCTCACAGTAATGAACACTACTTAATATGTAGTATTGAAAATAAGACCTGAAAAAAATTCAGGCCCATACAAGATTTGAACCCATGATCTCTGTGATACCAGTGCAATGCTCTACCAACTGAGCTAACAAGTCAGCAGGGAGCTGGTCATTATGTTGGTTTGTATTAAAGCCGTGAAAGTGATGACAATGAATTTGAATAGATGAAAATCATATAAGTGTGTACTATGGTTTCAATCCCTACCCTTTGCACCCTTGCCCATGGGTTTGTTACTTGCACTGATGCAGTTGTTCCTTTTGAATTTGTTTCAGTATTGATAAAATTTTGAAACTATGCTTTTTTCATAATACACATGGTGTTATTTTTTCTGTGTAGCTGCTTACTTTGTTCTTACATTCTGTCTATTTGATTTTGTTTTCTTTATAAACAGACAGTAGTGTTGGTGCTGGTATTGACTCATACTATGAGTACTGTTTGAAAGCCTACATACTTCTTGGAGATGACAGATACCTGGAGAGGTTTAACAGGGTTTGTGAGACATAAGATTTATCATATACTAAGACTGTTTTGATCTGTTCTTTTGGTTTTTTTTTTTTTACCTACTAATAACAAAAGTTAAGATCAGTAGAAAATATTGAAGGAGTGATGATTTTGGATGGTTAAATGAGTCATATTAGGGTTAAGTATAAACTGTAGTGCTACATAAATATATCTTATTAACCAAGCACGAGGGTCATACTGGGAGAATATCGGCCCGAGGTCTTGACAGTACGGAGTGAGCGCAGCGAGGTCTGTACAAAAAAGACAGAGGGCCGATATTCTTCCAGTACAGTCCCGAGCAAGCTTGGTTAATAAGAGATTTTTTATATGACTGAAGTTCAAAGGGACACAAGTGCATTATCATTCAGGACCATTTGGGACAGTGCCCGGTCCAATACTGAGAGAATATTGACCGGCAATGGAACATTTTGATCAGTTGATTTTAGTTATTGGCCCTCTGACTTCCCGAGTCGTGTAATAAGTGGGGGGTATTACAGGCTAAATTTGTGTTATCAACTGAGTTGATGATTTGAATTGGCCACAGTAAAGACTAGTCTTTGTAAAGCTTACATTCGAGCATGAGTCCTTCATCAGAGTAATAAAGTCAATATTGAGTCCTTTTGTGATGAGATAAACTGAATTCTTGTTCCAAATTTTGTACTGGTATGTTTGGATTTGTACTTAAGTTTTTTTTTTCAGGTGTGTTCTTTTTGTTAAAATAAATAGGATAATTTGAGTCTTTGATGGTATCTGTCCTCCAGTTAAACTATATACAACAACAGTATTTAAAAAGTGAGGGATTCTGTTTGAATGACTAATGTTTTTGTTTTTGGTTTTTTTGTCCAACAGCATTACAAGTCAATAATGCAATACATCAATCAAGGTCCACTGTTCTTAAGTGTTCAGATGCATCAACCTGATAGAACAGCACATGCTTACATGGATGCATTGCAAGCATTCTGGCCAGGACTTCAGGTAACTTTTCAACCCATAAGATGGATTTTTAATTTTGATTAACTGTTTGCAGTGATCAGTTCAAGTAAATCTGTTTTCTGTGAAGTTTTGTTTCCACTAGAAATGTGATTTCAAGGTTGAATGGGAGCTGTAACAATTCTTTTTTCTAATCTTCTTTCAGGTACTGAAAGGTGACCTTAAGAAGGCCATTGAAACACATCAGATGTTGTATGAAGTCTCAAAGAAGCATACCTTTCTACCAGAGGTACATTCATAAAAGTAAACATAAACACATTGAATCTCATTTCAAGTTTGGTATAATTTCATTCCCTCATCCGATGATACATTTTCTTTGCCAGGCATTTACTACAGATTTTGAGGTTCACTGGGGGCAGCATCCTCTTAGACCTGAGCTTGTAGAAAGCACATACTTCTTGTACGAGGTAAGACACTGTTGCTATGAAGGAGAAAATAAACTTTTGGTTTCTTTTCTTTTTTACTAAGTTTAAGAGGAAGGGGGAAGGAGGAGGGAGGTTGTATTGTGATGTCACATTTGAGTGGCGTTCTTCTCAGCCAGTGAGGCCCATTGAAAAAAAGAAAAAAAAAGACAGAAAAAGCATAGACTACTATTAACATAATAAGATAGAAAAATGTTTTGTAACATTGTTTAAACCTCACTATAGGCTACAGGAGACCCGTATTACCTTGAAGTTGGAAAGAATTTAGTAAGAAAGATCAATGAACATGCCAGGGTGCCCTGTGGTTTTGCTGCTCTTCGAGATGTCAGGACATTGAGCCATGAAGACAGGTGAAGTGAATTATGCTTGATGAATGGCTCTTTACTCATGTAGTGTCTCCTTGGTTCAATTTCAAAACCTACCTACATGCAAAACTCCCACGGACAAGGCTACTCAAGTGTACCTGAGCATTTTTGTGCTCAATCTGATATATATGTACATTAAAGACCATGGTGAAAGAAAATAACCCTGCTCTTTGGCGTGGAAATTTGACAATGACAGAGCCCACAGATGCCAGGAAGATCCAAATAGCTCTTATGCACAATGGTGACATTTGTTGAAAACACGCTTCCATGCCTGGTTTGCACTAAACTTTCATAAATCTTTGCCACTTTCTTCTTGCTTTCATGCATTTTTTCGTGTCAGTGTTTTGCTCGTACGATCCAATTAAATTTCTCCAGAACATACCTTTAAAGGAAGTCTAGGGGGTGAAACCGCACATTCCTGCATTAACTTGCGTAAGGCCTTCTCGGAAACCACCTTCCCCTTCCAGGAGAATCCTTTTACTCCCATTTCTTACAAGTACTGGTGTCTTTTATCAAGTAATTTAAACTACCAATCACTTAGATTACAGACATTAATTTTGCCATGATTTATTTTGTCTTTAGGATGGACTCGTTTGTTCTAGCAGAGACGTTCAAATACTTGTTCTTATTATTCAGTGAAAAAGAAGATCTTGTGTTCAACATGAACCAGTTCATTTTTACAACAGAGGCACATATCTTGCCTCTTAGTCTGTCTACTATGGCTGTGAATGCATCAGCGTCTCAGGTAAACACTACTTGGTAATCAAGAACAAAGGAAATACCTATAAGAGCCAATGAGAACTCAAAGTCAAATCAACTAAACTGCCTAAAGGGAAAACGCGAGAAAACGCGGGAAAGCGCGAGCGACCAATTTGTGATTGGTGCTAGTTTTGCATCTGATTGGTTGGAGAGTGGCGCATTTTTTTTTCTGAACCAATGAGAGTGAAGTAAAGCTAAAACAAAGCAATCCTGTATCACTTTCGCCACTCAGTTGAGAATTGCTCCGCGAGTGATGACCTTTGGCTGGTTATTCAGAAGGCTTTTGGGATTCAAAGTGAAAGAGGGACTCTTAATTAAGTGGGTTCCTTTGAGGATTTATTGAAGAGCGACCTGTACAATCCTTTTAAGAAGCACAGGCTCAAGTTACTATAAAGCATGGAGGAGTAGTTTGATAGTTAAAATTTCTATTGCTTCATGTTGGTTATCTGCAGTCAAGCGAAGATGTATTGGTGTCACAGTGAAAGCTAACAGCATTTATGTCCATAAACATGTAACTTGAAGCGGAGCTGACATCCCGTTATGGCTGTGCCACTACCAAACCTTCTTAACTATTTATATAGGGTAATCTTCAACTTGCTGTCGAAAGTAATTTAGGATTACATTAGCTTTTCTTTGATATACGAAGTGATTGCTCTAGAAAACGCGCACCGACCTCCCGACCAATCAGATGTAAAACCAAAACCAATTGTGGCTTCGTCGCCGCGCTTGAGGTTATTTTACTGGTATTCCCTTTGAGTTTGACACGCTTCATTCTTTAATATGGTTTTTCGGCTTTCAAACTCGAAAAAAGTTGGAAAAAAAGCTAGCCTTTCTTTTGGCGAACCCTTCTCCTTATGTTGTTACAGGCACTGGAACAAAAATAATGAAATTGATTTGTCGACCAGCTTAATGTTCTGAGACCTGAAGATTTTTGTCTTTTTTCGCAGGAACTGAAGTACAATCTTACCCTAAGCTCAGACAATGAGCATGAGTACACATGTCCTGCCACGCAACACGAACAAGGTTCAACTGCTAAGTTTGCCGAAGAGGTGCGACGCAACAGTAGGGCTCAAGCGCAGGGAAGTTGCCCCAACAAGAAGCCGCAGCAGACTTTTGCTTTCAGCTCGAACAAGTAAGTGATTGAGTGGTTAAAGCCCTTGCATTCCTGGCTCTTTTTTCACGTCAGTTGGGAGTGGAAGACACAGTTGTCCAGCAGTTAGCGCACTGGGATTCATATTAAGAGAGCCGGGTTTGAGTCCGGGTTAAGTTAATGTGTTCTGTCCTTGAGCCAAGCGTATCGCTCTCTCAGTGTCTATCTGAGCTCGAGAGTAGCAATACTCCTGTTCTGTTTACAATACAGAAAATGGGATATGTTCCGACAGTAATTGCTCTCTTGGTCCGTTAGACTTAACTATGCAACAATTGTCGCCACTTGTATCTTGGATAGTACAGAAAGAGAGTGAGAAAAGTAAAATATCTCGCATGTCCGTGATATGTGGGCGTGCATAACATCTAGTTGTCATACAATGCGTTTTTGTTAGAAACAATATCTTATTTCTTGGTTGTTCTTGTTTTTCATCCTATGCCTTTTTCTTTTTTTTTTAGGCCTCCAAGGTTGAGAGCTGAACAGTTTGTTCCTGGAAATCAAGAACATATTAACGTTCTCAAGGCCATGGGTATCACTGTAGTTCAAACCAAAGATGGCAGAATAAAACTCATGCAAACTGCTTCAACGGTAAGATTAAAAAACTGGTTGCGCCACTAACATTGGAAGGAGACCGCTGAAAGACTCGTACTTTCGTATAAGAGAGGTTATCGTTTAATGACGGAAACGTACGCACGTTTAATGACGGAATCGGTTAATGACGTTTCGTTTAATGACGGAAACGTACGCACTTAAAATCGAACTGCTTCAAAGTTCAGTGACTTAATGGTTCAGTTGATCAGAGTATCACAACGCGGTTGCTAGGTCACACAAGAGTCAAATTCCTTCAGAGTTCAACCAAATTTTTGTCGGACTTCTTTAACCCTGTACACCCAGCATCAGTTTGCATATTCTCCATCCTGTTCTTTATGCAATTCCTAAGCCGTGCCGTCAAAGAGAATTTGGTTAACAATCAACAGTTTCCTCAGTTGATGACCATTCACTTTGTTCTCGTGACCTTAACCTTTTTGATTCAGGGTGAAAATTGTATTGATATTGTAAAGAGAAATTAGATGCCTAGTCACTAAGGGTTGGAGGATTAAAAGCCGTTTTAGTAGAGTAGTAAACATCTTTATTTATACAGGATAGCCCCTTCAGTGTAGTAAACACTGGTATCAACGGGGGTCCTGTTACCCACCCATCCCACCCCAGGGGAGGACATCCATCACACAGTAATCTCGTGTGTGGGAAATTAACGTCTCCTTTCCTAACCCTGCAGGAGACGGGACCTCCATTTATTCGTCCCTATCCGAGAAGACTAGAATATCTAATCATTTCTTGATGTTATAGAAAGGTAGCATATTCTTTTCAATTATTTTAAGACCCTGAGTGTTGGTCCGGCCGGGGCTCGAACCCTCGACCTCCCGCACAACAGTCCAGCGCTCTATTCATTGAGCTAACCGGGAGGCAGTTAAAGTTATAATTCACTGCGAAAATCATTCCATCTTTTAAAAGAGTCATGTTGACGCTAAGACCTAAGGTAATCGCCTGCGATGGTTTCAAACAAACATTGTAGCCTGCTAATCGGCCATGAGGAACAGTCATGTCTTCTCGCTTTTCGTAAAGTAATCGCGTGTTGTTTCTCTTTTCTCTGTGACTAGGCTGAGTCAGATCGTGATGCAGAAGATGGCATCAAGTTCATGCAAGAGATGATAGAATTGGCAAAACAGCGAAATGATGAGTCAGGTATAACAATGTTTAGTCCTAGACACTTTAACCATTACTAAGTTTGGGGCTTCAACTGGAATTTGTTAGATGCGAGCGAAAACCATGGTCACCGTAAACAACATAATAAACCTATAAAACTCGGAGAATTAGGTACTTGCAACCGGCGTCGAACGTGAAAAAAAACTGCAACAATGTCATAAAATTACTGTTGTATTTGAACCTGTCTTTTGGGGATCTAATTCCCGGAAGGATCATTATTTTTTAAAGCATAGAAACTTTGGCCACGGAAGAATCCTTTCATAATTGGGCTACCCGTCATCTTCAATTTAGGGAAACCTCTCATCCAAAGACGCTTTTTCAAATTTCTGTAGCGTACACTGGATTGGTTGTATTTACAATAGGCTTGACTGACTGCACGAATTTTTCCTGAAACTAACGAAGGGGGGCGTGTAGGAAAATGACAACAGTATCGAAGGGCCACCAGAAAATTAGTATCTTGCAGGTTGATACGAAATAACTTCTCGAATAAAAACTTATCTACTTTTACTTGAAATGTGCATGGTGTTACGACTCTGATTTCTTACTGATTACTCATGACTCGTGACTCAATTCCATGATGTATTTTCAAATCATTGCGACTATCGTTCATCTTTAGCTGTTCAAGAAAAGCCTCGCGTGGTTCAGCTTATGTCTGCTCCCTACAAAGGACATGTGGTTCTCAACGCTTGTCCAGCGCACTTTGGTCTGGATCTGAGCAAAGGAGATGTAGGGGTGAGTACCACAACCGTGATCCAATTGCTTCTCGTTCCTTCAGTCTCAAGGGGGTCGTAAAATCCAGTTTCTTTGGAGAAACAGCGGGTAACTATGGGCAGATTTGGAGATGGGGGGCCCGCGGGGAAAAGGACCGGGGATGGAGGGGGACCTTATTGGGACCGAGGGGTTCCCCCACGAATAATGGAATTTCTAGCGAAGGGCAGGAAACAGTGACTTAATGGACCCTGCTTCTTGGCTTGGCTATACTTTTATGAGAGGTTTTTCTCTTGCAACCTTTGGTCTTTTAAGTTGTAGTTGGGTTTTGTTTGTTGGAAGTTGTTGAAACTTTTGCATGTATTCCTGAAACTAATCGTACAACTCACCAATAGCAAAGCTGATAGATACGTTTTTATATACGATCTCTTTCAAGCGGCATTGTTTCTATATTGTTTTCAGATGGGTGCAGAGGTTTCTATAGCTGAGCCTATCAAGGCGTGTTCTTCTATTTCAAATGTAGAGGAATTGAAGCATAGAATTGCTATTATGGAAAGGGGCGAATGCATGTTCATCGATAAGGTACAAAGGAAATAAAAAAATGAAGGAGCAGGGAGATGTAGTTTCCTGTTTTGCTCTTCATTACCTTAAGTCATGGAAGCAGAATGATGTCTTTTCTTTTGTCGTTACCTAACACTCTTTTGTTTTCATAAACGATTGCTTAGTGTACATTTCTATAGCAACTGGGCCCAAAGAACAGTAATGATGATTGTTTCTTGTGAGTCGTTCTATGAGTTTTTTTCTCCAGTTATGGTAGTCAGGCGTACATGTTATGGGTAGTGAACAGAAACTTGGGGGACAGAGATAATACAAGCTTTGCCAGGGAAATATTGACACCACCAATATTACTTTTAGCTTTAACGGCGAACGGAACTTTTTTTTCCGCGGATGTCCTCACTGTGTTATTATTATTATTATTATTATTATTATTATTATTATTATTATTATTTTACAAGTCTTTTTCTTCGAGACCTCACGTCTCCGCAGTGTCTGATTTCAGTTTTTTTTCCTCCTTAAAATGTAGAAGCTACTATCCATGGCAAATCTTCTAAGGTTTCATGTTGTTGGTCATTGTTACTTGTTACGTTTTGTTGGTAGGCTCGCCACGCTGAGGCTGCAGGTGCAGTTGGTGTGATCATCATTGGTAAGATCTGTACCCAATACACTTATGAGGCTACTCAGTATTCCGGGCATGAAATCTTCTCGAAGTGGAAGGCAAACATGATCTAAAGCCGAAGCAGTATCTGTTGTTGTTGTTGTTTTTTTTGCTATTAAAGTGATCTTTGTCCATGAAATAAGAGCGTATCATTAGATTCTTTAAGCATATATATTTATCCCCAAGGTACGTTCTGATTAAAATCCACCCCAAAGCTCCTGGACTGGAATCAAGATGAGGTGGCGTTGACTTTGACTAAATTCCAAAGCACAGTGCCGATTGGTCTTTTTCCATTGGTGGGAAGGTTCTTGATGAAACCTTCGAAATGGTGTTTCAAGGTGTTACATTTCGAGCTTGGCCAGACGTTTGAACGACACGAGGAACAAACAAAATCAAGAGAGCCAACCGAGACAGACTGGGGGGAGTTTCTCTTCTGTGGCTCGAGAGCATGGACACTTACATATCTCTTCGCTAGACACCCCACCCCCCGCCCGACCTTATGCGTCGTTGGTAACGGTCGAATCCTCATGATTGAAATAGCTTTTTGTTGCTTCTCTACACAGATAATAACGAAGGCAGCTCGAGTGATACGCAACCAATATTTGCCATGGCTGGTGATGGATCTAACAATGACGTGAAAATACCAGCTGTGCTTCTGTTCAGCGAGGAAGGACGCATACTGAAAAACGCCATAGCTGCAATGGAGGACTTAAATCAACGGCTTACAGTCCGTTTAGCTTCTAAAGCCACAGGAACATCAGGTATGACGCTGTTTGATCTTTTTTTTTTTTTTCCTTTCAACTTGCTCAGCAGTTTTAATAAAAGCCGGTTTCAAGCCGCCGCTTATTTTAGACTACTTGCCGTCGTCACGACGGTAAGAGGTCTTCTGAGCCCGCGAGCTGGTTCTTGTGTTTGGGTTTAGGGGGTAAGTTTCTAAAGAAACTGTGGTGCTGCGTTGGAGGGGGTATCACAAAAGACTTTGGTATTATCAAATGAGCCGATATAGCTAAATTGTTTCGAGCCCTTTGTCAGAAGCAATAGAGGAATTTTGGGTTGTGTGTGGTTCATGTACAAAAAAAGGAGCTACGCTATCGGTGGGAACATATCATGGTTGAATTAGTTAATTGAACTTAACAGTTGTAGATGTTAGCAGAAGCTTATGATCTAGATGAAGGTTATAAGCTTCTGATGTTAGAACTGATTCTAAAAGGCCGTTTACACGGCAGAAAAATCGGGTACGGACCTGACATTTTTGCCCGTGTAAACAATCCGTACCATGTTTTGGGGAATGGGTACGGACCCGTGTTTTTTCTTGTTTTGGGGCCATAGACGTCTATGGCCCCCAAACCAGAAAAAAACACGGGTCCGGACCAATTTCTTGCATCACGCGTCACCATTTTTTTTACAAGAAATACCGTATTTACTCGAATAAGCGCCGCACCCCCGATGCAGCGCTTATTCGAGGAATTCCGTATAACCAGGAAAAACACTATAAAACAATTTTAACACAGCATCGTCAATTTATATTCTTTAAATGTGATGTTCTTTAGTTCAAAGTGACTGTATTTCTCTGCTCGGGTTATGAAACGCTCGGGGTTTTTTCACCGCATGAATTTCTCTCGTAATTCTAGATTTACTATCAGTTTAGCATCAGTCCATNTCACAGCTGTGCCAAATACTGTAGTCCCATGCAAGAAATTGGTCCGGTCCCCCAAAACATGCAGTATAAACGCAACCTTGCTAACTAGGTCCTTATGCCTCTTTTTGTCCGACCCGTGGTAAAACATCATCCGTGTAAACGGCTAAAATTATGCGGTCCGTACTACTTTTTTGACACGTCCGTACCCGATTTTTCTGCCGTGTAAACGGCCTTTTGATGTCATTTTGTTTTGTTCTTGATCACAGATAAGAAAGAGCATCCAACTGCCGGACAAGCTGACCAGCCGTCAACTACACAAGAAAAATCAGAGAGTGAAAAATCTTCCAGTGATGAACATAGTCAACCTTCAAGTGACGATATTAAAATTCAATCATCTAACGAAGATAAAGAAGTTCCCAGTAGTAATACAGAGCAAATCGAGGCCTCACAAGGTATGGAATTACCACAGAGCGCCGAGGACGGCATGGCCTCGACAACATCAGGAAATACTGACTCGCGTAACAGCGAGACGCCGCCAAATCCAGCTGTTATGTCAGTGGGACAAGACGAGGTGTTTTGTGCCGCTACTGGCAAACCTTGTGCCATACCAAACCAAACTCACGAACCCTGCGCTGATTCAGCAATTCAGGCTGAAACGTCAAATAAGGACAGTTCTAATTCTGAAATAAGAACGCTTTCTGAGAATACTGACCTCCACAGTGGAGGTGAAACAAACAGCGAGGCAACTCAATCGAGTAAAAACACAGACACTGAGCTAAATAATAAGCCAAGCACAGTTAGTGAAGAGAATACGAGCGATGACGGCGTTCACGACGCTGCTTTGGAAAGGACTTGAGTCTTAAAATTATTTTTATTAATCAATTATAATATACTAGTGCTTCACTCTGATGTCATACAAGAGCCTAAGGGCTGTTCTGGGATGGAAGGAGAGTTTACTCTGGAGCAGATTTTAATCGAGAATAATCAGGAATTGCTTTGGTTTTGCTTCGCTCTGCTTTGTGAATGATCGAGGAAACTCGCGCAATCCTTGACACAAATCAGATGCAAAACTAAAACAAGTTGTGACTTGGTTATTTAAAATCTGTTGCACGCAAGGCCGGTCAAATTTCTCTACTCTGGGTTGCAGTTGCGTTCATTGCTGTCGTTGGCTGTGATTATTATTTTGCCGATCCAGTTTCGCTCTAATTTATAATTTGCAAATGTTACACAGAAATTCAGAGTCCTTTCTCAAGTCAGAAGGGTCGAGAAGCATCAATTCTAGATGCGAAGTGAAAATGACGTCATGGTGTAACTCTTGGTAAAGCAGATCAAATAATGGGTCAATTTGAAACTAAAACAATCTGGGAAATATACGTATCTGAAAAGTTTTCGTTATTTATTGTCGGGTCAACAAACCTTGTCTTGTTAAATGTATTAATATCGCCTCATTCGCGCTGTGATCGGGCGTTACAGCGGGTGGCTATCTGTCGCCTGCAATCAAGTACCCCTACCACAAACAAACAAAAAAGGAATCCACGGCCCTACATTAATCCAAGGGACAGTCTTGTCTCTGGCGGTTGCGAAACTGAACTAATTTTACTTACGAAGATCCTACTGGTGAACTTACCGCAGAACGGTATGGCAACAGGGGAGGGGGAGGTTACTCAGCGACTGTGTATTTTTTTGGTTGTTGGGGTTGTAGACTGGAGTCGGTTATATGCTAGCAGAACAAACGAGTCTGAAGGACGAATTTGGGGTTTCAACGTTCTAACCTTCAATAAGACGGGATCCTCTCTTGCTTTTAACATTTTCACCCCAAGAAATACATTTCATACATACTGTCACGGGAAGATCGAAGAGAGAAAAGGAAAATATTTACTGGGCTGAAATGTTTAGAAATGTAAGGCAAACAGGGTGAAGAATTAAAACTTGCTCTTTGGGAGTGAAAGGGCGTTGTTTTAGATATTCTTAAAGTCACATGCGATATAATTGTAAATATTTATTTAGATAGCTTTAATTTTCGAATTTAGTTCTCTGGCATTATGTGCCGTTGTCTGGCTTACTAAAATAATTATTTACTTATGATTTAGAAATTGTTTTAACTATTAAAATCAATATATGTTTTTTGCCAATCAAATGGTTTTGACTTAGAACTGTTTTATTTCGCCTGAATTTTAGACTCCGATTTTAGTTTTACTTGTTGCAGACGTAGCTCAAACATATCGGCAGCTAGTGAGGCGCGCGGGTGGGTGGGTAGGGGGATTCAGTGTTTAGTTACAGAACTGTAAATCGCCTGATGTGGCAAAGTGCCGCGAAAATCGTTAATATTTTAGCAATGGAGCCCGGAAATTCATCACTGTAGATATGGATTTTAGCAGTAGAACTGTATTAAAGATAAATTACTAATATTGCTTGGAATGGTTTGATGGAAACTTCTAGGAGGATACCCAACACCATCACACACTAGGTTTAATTCATTGCGATTGAAAAAGGATACAGAATTACTTTTTAAACAGCCGTTTGGTGAATCCACAGGAGAAGTAAGAAGATATGACCCACGGGGTGGACTAAGCTGGACATAAGTGGCTACCAGTGCTGTGAGCGTATGATAGTGAGTCAATAATTTGATTTATACCCCACTGGTACTTTTTGCAATCTGATTGGCTCTAAGCAGTGCGACTCATTCACGAATCGCACTGTTTTTTGCTCCAAGTGGTATATTTTTCCCAGTCTATAAGAATGGAATGCTAATAAAACAACCATTCAAATTTAAGTCTTGTCTGAGGTGACCAATCTAATTCTGAGAAAATAAAGAGTATAGATTTAGCCAAGCCTAAAAGCGGAGCTCCCAATAAGTGAAAATTTTGCAATAAAATTTTTTTAACATATATTAAAAATTTTTACCCAAAAATTCATTCAGTTTAGGTTAAACCCATTGACACTTACGTGTAACACGTGCCTGTGAAAAGTCAAAATTTTGGAGAAAGCAAGAAAGCAAACACAATACGCAGTAAATTTTAAAAAATCATCTTTTCCAAAAAACAAGCTCCAGTGAAAGAAGACTAATTAAAGAACTTATTTCCGACGAGAAAAGCGATAGGTGCATATTACGTTTTAACTCAAAAATCGCTAAATATTTTCGCTTGTGTGCAAATGGGCATGCATCCTCGGAGACCCAGGGGCTGTGAGTCGATTTTAAGTTAGGGCGGAAGAGCCCCTGGCGACATTGTCTTACAAGACTAGTTCCAAACGGTCGCAGTCGTTCTGCCAGAAAATCTCGTGTTTTTCTGCCCAATTAGAGTGAATTGTGCTTTGGAGTCCTTTCGTGTGTTTTAACACGTACATATACAAGAAGCTCAGTTGCCCGCCATGTAATTTAGGGCCGTGCGACGGAGCTTTGCTCGAGGTGAAAAGTCTCAGTCTCAGCACACAGTGTAAGTGAAATCGATCAGACTGTCCGCAAAAATCTTACTGGAAATTATACTGAATACTTTCGCAGGTATCACAAGAGAACGTGTTTAATATTAGTTTGCGAGGTTCGTATAAAACACAATGGTTGCAGGCGTTAATGTGTCGCTTTAAACGTTAAACGAGACGTAAGCTTAAATCTTTCTAGATTTTTTGTTTGATTTAAATTTGCTCTAACTGAAACTTTGCCAATCCCGTGAAGTTATTTCGTCGCACGGGCCCGGCAGGTATGTCGAGCAACTGGCGCTTACGCTTACGTACGTAGCTTTCTGTTCGCGCCAAAATCTAATCTTCGCTTTGTAGTAAAGTCTTTCACAATATGGCCAAGATTGCAGAGAACGTTAAGTTCGTGGACGACCTACAGCAAGCGCTTAGAGAAAGCTTAGCTGTGTTTCCGGTTAACGAATTGAAATCTGAACAAAAACTAATCGTGGGAAGGAGAGTTGTTTTTGGACAGATACCGACGGGGTTTAGAAGGAGCTTAATCTTTCAACTGCTGCCTGGAGTGTTCAAATTCTTTAGCTCGGAAGGCCACGGATTTTCTCCTAGACCCTTGGTCATTGTCATTTCACCTCTTTTGTCGATTGTTGAAGACCAAGTTAAATACCTTGGATTAGTGGGAATCGATACTGCTTTCATTGGGGAAAACGAAACCAAAGATTAAGAAATATTGGAAAAAATGGCGGGTTTGCTTTATTGTAAATGTCAGCTTTGTGCCAGTTGCTCGACATACCTACGTGGCCCGAGCGACGAAATAACTTCACGCGATTAGCAAAGTTTTAGTAACAGCAAATTATACAAAAAATCTACAAAGATTTAAGGTCGGCACACACGAGGGGACAAGTCCCTGCGACTAGTCCGTGCGACTAGTCCCGGCGACAAGTCTTTAAAGGGTTTACACGAGGGGACCGGTAACAGGGACTAGTCCCTTAAGGTGTTCACACGAGGGCACTCAATTGCACAAGAACATAGGAAAATTAAGAGGCAAAAGATGTTTCTTAGTTTGGGGCGTTACACGAAAACAAAATTGGACTATTAAACATCAACGCAAATGAACTACACTTATTCAGTCGGATGATTCATGCTTATACGTGTTCCGTTTTCGTTTTGTTTTTTATTTTTAACAGACACAGAGTCAAATTGGGTAAAAATTCCATCAAAACGGCTCCAAGACATCTGTATATGTTTACAAAACTAGAAATAG